TTTGACCTCGCAACAACTGTTAATCTGATACGAGGTACTCTGCTGAGAATAAATGCGTAGAATGACCCGATACTGAACAGAAGGTGTCAGTTTCTCATCCAAATAGGTCTTCGGGGTGGGCAACCCACGCCCCCAGCCCGTAGAGGAGGACCTCGACCTGCTGGCCTTCTGCAGTCATGGTCCAAATCGTGGTATTCGTTGGGCCTCGTCTAGGTGAATATTGACTGGTAGTGGTGGCGCAAGGACTTCAGTTGGCGTTCAACTGTGCTCTGTAGTATGCACTTCTGGTTTGGCTTCCTCACTCGGCCTAGTATTTGTACACTAATCCGTCAGATTCCTATTGCGAATACCGGCCGGCAACTGGCTTCAGCCCCCGATGTTCGGTGCGGAGGCGGAGAACCCGCCAGGGCACCTACCCCAGAGATTGATCCTTCGCAGCGTCCGTGACCTTCAGATCAGCAAACCTTGTGTCGTGTGCCCGTGTATCGTGGGGGAACGTGCCAAAGAGGTTTCTTGGGGGTTAGATGGGGGTCGCCGGGCGTTGCATCCGGTGCTTTTGACTAGGGGTTCGGAGAGGTGTCCGACGTTGCACCCCATCACCCCATCTTTCCCCCTCATTTCTCGGCCATCTTCCTGATCCGACGCGGGGAAGCCGGTACTGAACCTTCTTTTCGTGATTGGAGGCCTCAGTGTGGTGAATCTCGGTCGACCTTCGTCTCGGGTCCGTGGGGTATTCAGGGGGGCTTCAGCCGTTTATTTGTCCTTTGGAGGATGATATCATCGGTGTGACTGATGGATTCAATGCTCGTAGCATCGTGCCGTGCGTGCTTACTCTGCCCCTGCGTAGATTTTCGCTGCAAGAAGTTGAGAAAATCGGGCCCGGTAGAGGCACGTAGAGAAGAGTTTTCACTTGCAATAGGTGACTTTTTAATCATGTTAAATTTGACCGTATTCCTAGCAAGCCTTGAAACGTCGCTTTTGATTACCTAGGTACTTGAATTGTGATTTTGTGGTTGCGTACTGTCGAACCGCAACTCTCTCTCACTTCCGTAGTTGTGATGAAGACCTCTTCTTCTCCAACTTTTCGCCCCAAACCCTCGCACAGTTGGCGATCTGCAGCGCTGTCTCTCGAATTCTGGTCGCTTGTCTGACAAGCCTGCTTCTCTCCGAAGGTGTTTTGGGTGTCTGCCCAGGATCTGATTCTTCCTCCTTGATCGTATGGCCCCATTCGTCTGCCGACCTTGCCACTAATCGAGCAGCGTCTTCGATTTTCTTTCCCGGTGGCTCTGATCCATCCTCAGTGAAGCATTCTTGTGGCTGCATGGCGATCACGCCTGCAATCAGGTTCCAAACAGCAATTAGGTCCTCCTTTGGTATGGTTGGTGATATCGTCGCGGAGATGGACCGCCTTTCGGCGGAATAGCTCCGTATCGGCCTCGCCGATGATCCTGGCCTGTTCGAAGTCCGTGCTAGCAGACAATTGCTGCACGCGCCGTTGTAGATGCCCGGCATTTTGACGCACTCTGGTGAGATCCCGTTTCCCCCCCGACATTTGGAGCATTCGTCCTCGGCGCCTTGCAGGTCTCCTCGCTCATGAAGCATGACAGCTTCCAACACGGGTGCCTGTGAGATATCTGGTGATACCCGGCCAGGCCTGACCCTCCATGCCCTTCGCACTGGAAGAGGACCTAGAATCCTCATAATATCTGTGGTAGACGTGCGCGGTAATGGCTGGCCGTGATCTCCGGGATATTGGGCAGTTCCTGGAGTTGCGTCTTTGATGGTTTTGTGTCGTCCTCTATGCTCGTATGATCCCTGGAGATGTGCTTCCCCGCCATCCGCTGGAGTAGCCTTCGAGTTGACCTGACCCACGCTCGCTCCTGCTCCCGTCCGGACTCTTGATGCCAGTGTTGCAGACGGCATCGTGCCTTGTTCTTTTTCCGTAATTTCTCCCGCTCTTGCCAAAAGTTGAAGTGTAATATCTGCGATTTCCCGTTCATCGCCCATCACGCTCAGACAAACGAGGGCATATCAAGAAGAGTGAGGTTGCTTGCCCGACCAACCGAACCACCAAACATGAAAGGAGAAATGAACAACCCACCAGGAAAAAAGAATTCAACCTCGTGATGCGGACCAGGTGGTCCACATACTCCAACATACGAAAAAGCCACTTATAAGTTCCGGTGAAGAAGCCCGAAGTCTTGCCCCCAGTTACGTAATTCTATTGGTCATCTGTTCTACCGCGGGCGAGCTCGGAGGTGGTGGGTGATTGGCCGTCAAGAATTGCCGTGACTGTCAGATTTTTGAGACGTTCTGGACTCTTTGAGATCTGCTGTCCCTGCACTGGGGGAGTCAGGCACTTTTGGTACTGGGTCTGGCTCCAAGCGAGCCCTTCGTCCACGCCTCGTGTGTTCGGGGTCCCCATGAAGGTATGTGGTGGGAAACAGAGCGCAGTATGGCTCCCAAATGAGTCAGGAAGAGAAGGGTGTTCGTCCAATTCAGCAACTATCCCGCTAATATTCATGACCTATTCCCCGATTGGACCAAGTGGCAATACCGGGCTCGTTTTTCCGTTGCCAGTGTGGGAGGCTCGCCCGAGAAGTCGGGAATGACAATCCATCCCCGCTGACAGTTGCCTCGACTGTCTCACCTGATCGCGCATGCGAGCTGAGAGAGCGGCCCTGGGCCGCTGGGGCGCTGGTGGGTTCGTCGGGAGCACAAGCGGTCACCAAGAAAAAGTTGAGAGAGCCAACGTGGGTTGGGTTACCGAACATAGCCGGGCCAGTGTCGATCCATTTGCAGAGAGTGAGATGAAATCTGACCGGACATACGCCAGTCCGGGTAAGGGTTAGCGGAAGCGCAAGAAAAGCGAGATGGGGTTGTTCTTCTTTTGGCTTCGTACGTCGCATGGTCGCGTGCAAACAAGAAACAAGAATACCCCCACGGGGAAGAGAAAAGTGTCTGGCATCTGCTGGTTTTTCCTGCGTCACACAAAGCAGTAGTCTCCAACCAGCGACAAATTCAGCGAAATCGCGTGCGTAAGGGAATAAAAACCACGCCGGTTTCCACCGCGGATGTTACCAACTCGACTGATCAACACGCTGATTCCGGCCCGGAACAGTCCAGATACATGATCTGCTTGGGCAAACCATTGTGGAGAAGATACAGTGGAGTTTGATGGGGTTGGTGGGTGGGAAAACCGTAATTGTTTGGTACCAGAAACCGCCCCCCGCGGGTTTAGTCTCCGACTCTTTCGTTTCCTCCGTTCTGTGGGGGGTAGGGAAGAGGCTTTTCGATGGCCTCGGACCACGAAATAGTCTACCATTAGACTCATCTTGGAAGAGGTGCCGGCGTGGGGGTTCAGACTACGTGGTTACATGGGTCGTTCCTACGGCTTATGTTACCTATTTTCGTGCTCGACTTACACCGACACAAGAGAAGGGGGCGAAAGTCGATCCCATGATCATCCATGTTGCGCTGGTCTGTCTGACTCCCTTGCATTCTGAGTTTGGATGAATTCTTTGTTACAAAAGCTTTGTTCGCGAGTAAGCTAATCTACCAAAACTCTCCTCACATCCCACCACTGCTGCTGGATCTGCTTTCGCAAACTACTTGCTCCCTCGTGCCACAAACCCGCAGAATCAGTCCACAATGTCTCCCTCAGCAAACGGCGGTCCCGCCAGTCACAACGGCAACGGCACACAACACGGAGCACGGCCGGCTCTGACTTCCGGCCTCTACGTCCCGACGGTAGCATTTTTCCGTTCCGATGACTCAGTAGACGTCGAGACCACACATTCCCACGCCGTCCGTCTCGCCAAAGCCGGCGTCGCTGGTCTGGTCACCCACGGCTCCAACGGCGAAGCAGTGCACCTCGACCACGACGAGAGACAACTCATCAACCGCACCACACGAGCCGCGCTCGACTCGGCAGGGAAGGCTGAACTCCCTCTGATTGTGGGCTGCGGCGCACAGTCGACAAGGGAAACCATTCAACTCTGCAAAGAAGCCGGCACATCAGGAGGCGACTATGCACTCGTCCTTCCGCCAGCGTACTACGGTGGCCTTCTCACCACCGACCTCATCTTACAACACTTTCGCGAAGTCGCAGACGCAAGTCCGGTTCCTCTTCTCATCTACAACTACCCTGGCGCCTGCAGCGGCCTCGATCTTAACTCGGACACCATCATCAACCTCTCGAGTCACCCCAACATTGTCGGCGTGAAACTGACCTGCGGTAACACTGGCAAGCTGGCTCGGATAGCCGCTGCTACAGCCCCCAAGAAAGGCGACAACAACACGACACCATTCCGAACATTCGGCGGTAGCGTCGACTTCACTCTGCAAACACTTGTCGTCGGTGGCCATGGCATCATCGGTGGAACCGGAAACATCGCGCCCCTTGCTTGTGTCAAGCTGATGCAGCTTTGGGATGAGGGCAAGTTGGTAGAAGCGAGAGAGCTGCAGGCAGTTGTGGCCCGCGGTGACTGGACTGCTATTCAAGGAGGGTTTGTCTCCGTCAAGGCGGCACTACAGGAATACTATAGCTACGGAGGGCTTCCGAGGAAGCCTTGCACATTGCTCGAGGGAGAGAGCCTAACAAAACAGATTGACGGGTTTTCAGAGTTGATTCAGGCTGAGAAGGCATTGCAAAAATAGATGCATGTAACAAACTGGGTTTTGGGACAGGTTTCAAGAGAATCATAGCGTATTGATCAATGAAGGAACTTTCACCTGAAGACATTGCCAAGACCAGCGATGGATATGGCGCCTCTCACGTCTGTATTTCCCACCGGGAAATTGAAGTGCACATTATCGCCTTTTGCATGTAGTTCGGCTGATGTCCAGAGCATGGGTTGGTGAACTTCTCCCACACTCGAGCGCTAAAGACTTCTCATTCGGATTATTGGGAGCACCCTTCTGGCCATGCTTTTCGAACACCTAAGTATGTATTCTTGGGTGACGTTATGCGAGCCTCTGTTGTAATGTCGACAAAACGCTCATTGTGATTGGTCTTGCTTCAAGATCATGAGAGCCCTGTAAACATGCCCGTCCCCGCCATATTTAGTATCATCTTGGAGAAATTCCGCCTCAACTACGAAGCCAAGGCGCTTGTAAAGATCCACTCCGGCCTCCATGGCATGTATGAAGACGTCAAGGCCCAAATCTTTGGCTCTTGATAAGCCACTTTTGACCAGAGCAGTGCCTATGCCTTTGCCTTGGTTGTCCGGGTGAACCGCCAGGTAGTCCAGTCCTATGGGAGAAGTATAATAAGTACTCGAGAAATGCTGGTGGCAAGGTAGAGGAATTGTCAACACACGCATGTAATCCTTCCTACTGAGAATCTCATCCTCTGCCTCACGGATAGGGATAAGCAGCTCATCTGACTCCTCTTTAGGGTCCCAATGAGCCGTCGCGGCAACGCGCCGGATCTCCGCTTCCTCCTCTTCACTGACAGACGGAACCACGGCATCGGGCCAAGCCGGAGCCCCGCCGATGCTCTTGGCGTGGGATGCGGGTAGAATCCACCGGGCATATCCCACTATTCGCCCGGTGGTGGGATCCACGGCCTTTTGGTGTCGCTTCGTATCGGGGTCATTGATGAGGTTTCGCGGCGTTCGCTTGGCTATCTGTGTGATGTGGTACTCGAGCGTCCGATGGCGCCAGGCGAGTTGCCAGTGGGGATCTGCCCAGAAGGCGGGGATGTTGTTTTTGGTCAGCTCATCGCTGTCGGCCAAGGTGCAGCCCGTGATGGTGTATTCAAGCGCAGGTTCCATTGCTCTAAGACTAGAAGACATCGCGATACCATGGACTGCAGCAACGCAAGCTCCTGGCACTTCACAACATTTCTGGGCAACGTGTTCAGAAGTCCCACCTAGTGTGGCCCGGCTATCGGCACTTTTGAACTGCACACAGCAACACCCCTGCATCTCACGCCATGTCCTTCAATCTGTCGGCCTGACGATCAAAGTCGAAATTCATTCAAGTCCTCTGACAACGATATGGTCCTTTGAAACAATGAAAACGCGTGTGACTGAATAGAACAAGCCCTTATCGATGGAAAGACATTTGCTTAATGAGTTCACTACCTACTTCGAAGTGCTACAGACACTCGTCACTTGAAGTTTGAGACTTTTCTTGAATAAGTTCATGTAGCAAGGCCCAAAATTTATGTCCAGAGTTTCAACATTTTGTCTCTTCACCTTGATCCAAGCTGCCGATCCTTATCCAGCTATGATGAAGCTTTTCTAGCACTCACAGATGGCGACAGGCTGCAGAAGTCCGTCTGTGTTTCCCCGCTTTCCCGGAGTCTCGAACGCTCTCAGAACAGTGTCGCATGACCGTCGCTCTCACTTCAACTCGTTCGATTCACCTCGTTGCCTTGCATAAAACTCCCTCCTTCTCATTTCACTTGTCGTCAATAGATCACCATAGCAGTTCGCGTCATCCGTCGCCCAATGAATATCGCCTCTTCAAACCCCGCATCAAACCCCGTGCTACGTGCCCCGAGCTAAACCCGTCTAAACTCTGACGACGTGCCAACAAGGCCAAACCATCCCCGGATGAGGAAACGAGCTGACCCCCACGAAGGGATCTAGGTATTTCTGGCTTGTCTGGCGTTTCTGTTCGGGGCCTAGCCCGACGTCCGAGCGGCTCTGCGGGTCCGGATCTGCGGGGCTGACCCCCATTCATCCCGTAATCCATGCGGGGAGCGGGTCGGACGCGAGACCACGAATCCGCGAAAGAGGTTGTGTACTTGTTCGGAAATGGTCTGATGCGTCTCTGGTGGTTGCTCCCCTCTCTTCTCTCAAGGCTTGACATCTCAAGTCAGCTTTCCCCGTAGGTACCTAGTTCGCACCCCATCATACGAGACGGCACACGAATCACCTGAGTTTGGCAACATGCAGAAACCCGTTTTGAGCCGACAATCGGATCTAGCTGGCGGAAAATAATGCGGGTACGGCTCGTGGGGGTCTACGAACGTGTCGTACGTAGACGGGGGGAGGCTTGAGATCATCATGAAGCTCATCAGGGTCGTAACTCCAATAAGGATATGAAGAATATTCAGGAGGCAGGAATGCGGCAAGTTATTTGGCAACATTCGTTCAGACAAACACAACAATGCCGACTATCATGGAAAAGCTCTTCTCTCTAGAGGGCCGCACGGCCGTAGTGACGGGAGGCACACGGGGAATTGGCCAGGCCATGGCAGTGTCCCTTGCAGAAGCCGGTTCAGATATCATCCTCATCCAAGTAAGAAATCACCAAGACTTTGCAGTTTAGCTCGATATTGACAAAAGAAAAGAGAGATGAAAGCAACACTGAAACAAAAACACAAGTCGAGGCCTTGGGCAAAATAGCTATCATCTACACAGCAGACCTTTCAAATCAAGAGGAAGTGGAAAGCTTGTCTAAGCGCATTTTAGCCGATGGCCACGATGTCAGCATTTTAGTCACCTGTGCCGGCATTCAACGCAGACATCCCGCACACAAGTTCCCCATGAGCGACTGGGACGAGGTCCTCCAAGTCAATCTCAAGACAGTCTGGACTCTTTGCCGAGACTTTGGCGCTTACATGCTCACGCGCAGCCCGAACTCGGTAAACGGTCACCGCGGTAGTATCGTCAACGTGGCTTCGCTCGTCAGCTTCCAGGGAGGCATCACGGTGCCGGCCTATGCAGCGGCCAAGGGCGGCATAGCACAGCTGACCAAGGCCCTGAGCAACGAGTGGGCGAGTCAGGGTGTCAACGTGAATGCCATTGCACCTGGATATGTTGCAACGGATATGAATGAGGCGCTGATCAACAACCCGGAAAGGGCAGCGAGTATTCTGGCCAGGATCCCCGCGGGGAGATGGGGCACCCCGGATGACTTCAAGGGTGCCACGGTGTTTCTCGCGGGGGCGGGGAGTTTGTACGTTTCGGGAGAGCTGCTGACTGTTGATGGGGGCTGGATGGGCCGATGATACTTGAGGATGTGTAGTCAATTAGAGATGTGAGAATACCAAGTAACATCCGGTCCGGAAGAGGACCAATATGATCTGCAGGCTTAAGCACTGCTCATGGGATGGAATCTTGAGCTGAGTGAACCCCACGTCTTGATGTGTCTTGTACTTAACGGCACTTGCTTTCCCCGCTTAGCTACAGGTCTGACTGACACCTGATCCCAGATCGGCGAGGAGCCAGGGAGAACTACTCCGAGTAAACATGGTGTGATTTTGCGTGGGGGCTCGGGTATTTTACGATTCTCTGATTCTGTAAGGTTATGCGGCCACGCAAATCATCGCGAGGTTGGGTATGCTTTAGCCTCTACAGCCAAGACATCTTGAACGACAAGAGGATTGCAAGCGTAATCATCCAACGATAGCTCAAAGCACAAATAAACTGGCAGAAATGACCCGAGAACAAGTTGGACGTGATGTGATCCCAGACCTTTAGTATCTACTGCGTGTTCAGATGAATGGACTATTACATTTTCAAGATGCTAGTAGCAATAACTAGTGCTGATGCTAAAACTTCATTACAATGTCGTCTAGTGAGCCGTTCAACTACCATTCCCTGATGCTGCCGTCAGGGCCATGGAAGACCTTGCACTGCCACGGCTCTGTCTCTTTGGAAATCTTGATCACCATCTCCTCATCAATATCAATGCCTAACCCGTAGCCTGTCGGCGCCTTTACGTAACCGCCTTCAATATCGAACACGGTGGGGTTCTTCAGATATGTCAAGAGATCAATATCTCCTGCCTCAGTATTGTAATGCATTCCCAGACTCATTTCGAGAATGGAAAAGTTGGGTGCTGATAAGGCGACCTGTACACTTGCCGCAAAGGCGACGGGGCCAAGGGGGCAGTGCGGGGCAATCGCCACATCGTACGCTTCGGCCATAGTCGCGATGCGCTTCGTTTCGGATATACCTCCAGCATGAGCAATGTCTGGTTGAAGGATGTCGACGCTGGCGTCTTCGAGGAAGCGTTTGATATCCCATCTAGTGTAAAGACGCTCACCAAAAGCGATTGGAATCGTCGTTTGATTTGAAAGCTGCTTAATGGCTTCTGGGTGCTCGCAAAGTAGGGGCTCCTCGATGAAGAGGGGCTCATATGGCTCCAGCGCTCTGGCCAGCTGCTTTGCCATTGCTTTATGAAGACGGCCGTGGAAATCGAGACCAGCGTCGAGACCAAGAGCTTTGACCTGCTTGAGACGCTCAATTGTGTCCTTCAGGACTCTGGGAGAGTCAACCCAGTTCATGTCTTCTGTTGCGTTCATCTTGACACAAGTCAGGCCTTGAGCAATGCGCTTTTTCCTGTAGAGAGGTCAGTATCTTTCGAAATTGGTTCATATCTGGGTACTTGCGCTGCTGCTTCGACATCTGATGGTCTGTCGCCTCCAATCCAGCAGTACACTTGCACCTTGTTGCGGACCTGACCGCCTAGCAGCTCGTAAATAGGAACTTTCAGGTTACGTCCTATCGATCATGAGCAGTTAGACAATTTTCTCGGCTATGCCAGATCTTTGTTCAGAATGTTGCACGAACCTTTCAGATCCCACAAGGCAATGTCAATGCCTGACATTGCTGACATGAAAACGGGGCCCCCTCGGTAGAAGCCATGGCGCCAGAAGATTTGCCAGATGTGCTCAATGTTGCTGCATATAAGTCAGACAAATTCTAGAGAGGATGAGTTGATCAGATTACCCTGCTTCAAGGCCGACTATCCTAGGAATCATCTCCTCAAGACAGCCCTCCACAGCCAAATCATGACCCTCGAGCGTTGCCTCGCCCCAACCATACTCGCCATTCTCGTCGGTGATCTTCACCATGAGCCAACGGGGCTTTACGCGGTAATACCGCACGGACGCGATCTTAGCCATGATGTACTACAGTAGGGGAATGGCTCAATGGTGTTTTGGACGATTAGAAGCTGGTCGTGATAGAACTCAACACACACCGAGCAGAGGTCAAGCACATTCAATCATTCATAATTCATCCCATTTTTAACGAAGCTCCCCGCATCATGAAGGTCCGCCATGAAGCGGCACATGTGTAACAACACGATCCACCTCCAAGTTTGGGGTCACCAGGTGAGCACTCCACGTCTGGCGTTGGTGGTTCACTCCCCACCTCTGGCATGACCCCCACGGAGGCTGGCACAAAAGCTCAATACGTGGAGGAATCGTGGGGAAGGCATGGGGAAATCCACGATCTCCACCCTTCGTACGGGCCACTGCTCAACGCGGTGTTGCTCCCGTTCCACGTCAGACACAAGTTGTCTGGCTCGGAAAATCCAGCCATGCATTTCTTGTTCTCGTGCCTCGCGCTCACCTTATTATCCACACCTGGAATTGTGCGTCTTGGCTTGTCCCGAACATGGTAGTTTCTTTTACGAACCGAATTCGTGATGTGGGTTCGCCATGACTCGAAGGGATCTAGCTGGCACGGCTGACGCCCGCCGATGTGTTGCGTGCAGCGGAATGGCCCCGAAATCTCACAAACCTGCCTCCAAACACCTTCAAAGTCAGGTAACTGTGCGTTATGGCCGCTTGACTGATGAGGTCCCGGCCGGAGGTTATCGAATGGCCGCGGATTACGGATACACTAAGTATTTTCTTGGCGGCATAATCCCATCAGGTCACCCAAGTAACTTGGTCCTTTAGGCTGAGGAACCTCACTTTCCAGCAAGCGGCTGTTGAAGGGCAGCTTATGCCAGGATGTTGTGGATCTGTTATGAGCAGCCATATCGGTGTTCATACCGAAGTCGCGTGTGTCGCGGCGCATCCGGGTGGATACTGACTTATCGCCGTTCGAGCAATTCTCCTCACGCTCCCGCCCGGCCCGATCGGGTTTGACCTTCCGCCAACACTTACGAGGCAACTGACACCGTGAGAAAGAAAGTTATGAAAGCGGCTAGTTTATTCAAGTTACCCACACCCGGTTTCAGGGGCCCAATCAGCAGGAACTTTTAATAGCCGACGCATATTTTGACGTTTACCTCCGATCCTCCATCTATTAGTCTATCATTTTCACATTAGTCATGATCTATCAGTCCACATTCCGTCCCGATCTCATCTTTTGCCCTAATCTTGCAATGGCAATGCAGCTCACGTGCTTCCGCCTTGTTGTTGCGGTGCGCTGTTGCGCTGGGCCAGCACTTGCCTGTCGCAATCGCGGTTGCCTTCGTGTGAGTTCTTCTCACTCGGTTGCCCCATCTCTTCATCCCGACTCTCACTGGATGTATCATCTGGCTTCGCCTCCTCAATCGGATGCAAGCCTCTATCTTTGATCAATAGACAGCCCACCAAGCATAACCCAATGAGTGGTATTTGAAGAATAAACACAGCCCGACTGGCCGCCATGTATGCGTCGAGAACCGCGGACATATCTTGCTCATTCAGTTGCGGTATGGAGTAAGTGCTGCTGGCAAGGTCCTTGAATCCTGGAGGCAAGTTCGCTCGCAAGGTTGCTTGGAGAACCGCCGCGGAGACGACTAATCCGCAAGCACCGCCGGCGCATCGGAAGAAGTTGCGATTTGAAGTGATGACTGCCCGGCGAGACTTGATGGAGTGCGCTTGGAGGGCCACCAGAGTCGGCTGGAAGATAAACCCGACACCAATGCCAATGATCAGGAGAGGAATAACGATGATTCCAGGCTTGGTATTTCGATCGAAAATGAGTGTGAGACCTGCTCCTCTGTATCACTTGTCAGACAGTTGCAAACGTAGTAGCCGGAATCGAGAATTTCCTTACAGTGTCCAGAGGCCAAAGCCTGCCCAGATGACTTCTCCATAGCGCTGAGTTCTCGATATGTACTGTCCCGAAATGATGGAGAATACGGATTGACAGACGACAAGGGAGACGTAGATCCCCGCTGAATGAATGACAGAGAACTGATGAGCGTTCTGTAGATACAGCGGGATGTAGTAGAGGTATCCCTGGTACGCTGCCCCAAATAGAAACGACTGTGCCAGGAGGACAACGACAACTTTGTTTTTGAATATGGGAACTGAGTGTTGTTAGCCGGCACTTGGGGCCATTTTCTTATTGACGGGAATTACCTGGCATCATCGGAAGCTTGGCAAACTTCCACTCCACAATGACAAAAGATACAAGAGCAAGTGCTCCTATTGTCAGCATACTGATAACCATCGCTGAGTTCCATGGGAAATATGCGCCACCTAGCAGAGTAAGTGAGTAATCCCTGAATTAGGACAGGATCGAGTCGAGGAATTACCCACCTCCAGATATAGGAATAAGCAGCAAGATAACGCCGGCCGACGAGGTGAATGAGCCTGCATAGTCGATCTTCTTGACACTTTTCATAAAGTCGTCATCCGGAGGCTTAGATGGCAGGAAGAAGTATGAGATAACACCGACAATAACACCAAGTGGTGAGAGCATCCAAAAGAACGCTCTCCACGTTGCCCTCTCAACAAAGGCTGCAGCAAGAAATGGCCCGAGGACATTTCCCAAACCAACCATTGAGCCCAAGATTCCTTGGTATTTACCTCTTTGCTCCAAAGTAACAACGTCAGAGACAATGATCATGGCGAGATTCGTGATACCGCCTCCGCCGATGCCCGCAACACCACGGAAAATGTAAAACATTGTCGCGTTCTGCGAAAGTCCACAGAGCAAGTCCGCAATTGACAAAAGACCGATAGCGCTCAAAAATACAGCTTTTCGGCCGAAAATATCTGAGAAGCGCCCGTAAAGCATCTGAAATGTCGTGTTGGCAATGAGCGATGACGTACCCGCCCATGATATTGTATCTTGCGCGTTGAGGTCCGCAGCAATTGTCGGCAATGTAATGCTGATGCCATTTTGGTCGATGAAGGAGACCAACAAAGTTACTGCAAGAGTTGCAAAGACAACTAGGAGTTTCTTCAGAGGCAAAATGTTTGTCTGGTCGTGAAGAGCCTTTTCGGCCTTGGTTGTTTCTTGATCGCCCCTCATGCTGCAACCCTGGCCAGTCGATCACTTGGGACAAAGTAATGAAATTCGATAGGAAAGATACCAGCGTAGATTATGGCCAAATGATTTGAAAATGCAAAAAGGACATGCGGCTGAAACTATGCGTAAAAGAACCAGCGCATGAAAACTTTTCGTGGTACAATCCGACGTTGAGAGCGGATACCAGCATCCGGAGGAGCCAAGACTCGGATCACCGCCGTCAAAGATTGGTCAATTGGCCTCATATCGGCTCCGGATTCGGCAGCGAAAAAATTGGGCTGGAAAGTTGAAGGGGGGCGAATTCAACGTTGACTGTTGAAAAAATGGGTGCGTCATGGCTAGGCCAGGCCAACAAGGGATTTCGGCAAGTTTTGAAGCGGTGGACTCCACAAAAGTCTTTGCTAGTCGGAACATCCGATGCTGTCGGCTGGTTGCCAATGTCGCTCGCTTATCATTCTCGGAGGATGTCCGACACTAATATTTATCCCGCATGATTCGCTCCTTTGCAAGCCACGTTATCAGAGAGTATACGCTCGTCTGGTTGATTGTAGATGCCAACTTGGCAGCTAGATTGGCTCTTATCGAAAGGTTGAGTTGGAGATGGGATAGCGTTATGAGGGAAGAAGGCAGTTTCATGATAAGGCAATACAACCTCAATTTGATAAATACTGACGGCGAAACAACCGCAACTTGACATGAATCTTCGTGATGTGTGTTAATTGAGCTTATTGAAAGGCAAAGCAAGGAGCTTTCGAATTGTTTCAATAACTTGCATTGAACAATGACGTTGTTGACGAGGCTTAAACGAGCCTGCTTGTCCCGGCAAGAGTTCAAACAATTCATCCAAACCAGAGAACATCCCGAAGAGGGTACGGCATACTTTAACGAAGACTTGCTGCCTACTCCTCCAGGTCAGTTGTTATTTGAAATTATTTTGGACTCAATGAGTAATTAGCTGATTTTGCCCTGAAGAGCACCGAAGTTGGACAGCCTTACACTTCTTCACGTACTACTTGACCCAAACATTTTCTCCAGGCTCTTACAATCTTGGAGCAACTCTCATCTCAATCGGCTTGGTAAGTTGACTCTAAGTTCTTCTCCACAGTCCTCTATGAGGAGTTTCTGACAGTCAACGCGCAGCAATGGTGGCACGGAATGATTGCAGCTGTAATCGGCTCAGCTATCCTTAGTGTCGTGGTTATCCTCAACTCCCGCGGTGCAACTCGCTATCATGTCGGGTTTCCCGTATACGTTCGTGCTGCTGGTGGCGTTAGTGGTGCAAAGCTATTCATCGTCGTGCGCGCCTCTGTCGCTGTGATCTACTTCGCAACTCAGTCATTCTATGGTGGCATGCTCACTTCAGTGGCCCTCAGAGCCATATTCGGCTCCAGATGGGACAATATTCCCAATCGCCTACCAACGAGCGCGGGAATCACTTCCAAGAACCTATTGGCATTCTTTATTTTCTGGATTGTTCAGTTCCCTGTCATGTTCGTCCATCCGACTATTCTTCGCCACCTATTTGTGGTGAAGTCAGTGGCAACAACAGCAGGTCTAGTCGGCGTCCTGGGATGGGCAGTACATGCAAATGGTGGGAGCCTGGGTGGCTTCAACTTTGGAGCAAAGTCTCTAAGCGGCGCAGCGCTTGTGTGGCCCATGATCCAAGCGATCAACAGCGTCATGGCGGCGCTCTGCCCGATCCTTGTTAACCAACCTGATGTCGCTCGGTACGCTACACGTCCAGCACAGGCAACCTGGTCACAAGCCATTGGTATTCTGGTCAGTAAGGTGCTCGTCATGTTCCTTAGCTGTGCAACAACTAGCGCGGCTGCTGGTGTTCTTGGCAAGAGCTACTGGAACGTCTGGGATCTCTACAACGCCATTCTGACTGAATATTGGGTTCCTGGAGCGCGTGCTGGAATGTTCTTCGCTTCCGCGGTAAGATAAAAATCGTCCAGAGCGCCTTTCAGTTTGCTAATCGGTGTATCAGGGCATGATCTTGGCGATTATCGCGACTAATGCTGGCTCAAATTCTCTCCCTGTCGGCGCCGACACCAGCGGACTTTGGCCAAGGTACATAAACATAGTTAGAGGTCAGGTAATATGTGCCCTGCTTGCGCCTCTTTGTGTACCGTGGAAGATCATCGCCAGCGCTAGTTCCTTCCTCACTTTCTTGGGATCATACACCGTTTTCCTAATGCCAACCTGCGGCGTAAGTACAAGTCGTCTTCATCCCTACAAGAACCTAATCCTCGTCGAGCTAACGAGTTTCCAGATCATGATTGTAGACTACTGGATTATCCGTCGAGGAAACCTCCATGTCCCAAGTTTGTACACAAAAGTAGAGGGCGCTCCGTACACGTACTACAAAGGCTGGAATCTGCGCGCGGTTGCCGCATGGGTCGCTGGCGTTGCGTTTACTGTACACGGCATTGCTGGGAACTTGGACCCCGACTCCGTCAATCAGGCAAGCAAGAACATGTATAAGCTTGGATTCCTGCTTTCTCTTGCCATGGGCTCGTTTGTTTACTACATAGCCTGTGTTATCTGGCCCATTTCGGTTTACTCACGAGAGCTGGAGGCGCAGGCAAACACAGGGTTTGAGTGTATGGCACCGTCGGAGGGCTTCTTCCCCGGTGAGAGTGTTGATACCATTCGGGGAGTCTTTTACTCAGTTGAGGGGACCGAAGTTCAACAGACCATCGGAAAGAGCCCCGGTGCAGAGTCTGTGAGCGAGAAGTATACGGTCTAAAGTATCATGTCCTGGAGTATCTGTGTACTCATTTGCATTTTTGTTGTTCAAGTTGTCACGCAACCTAAGGTTTGAGTGTGAATATCGAGCATCTTCAATTGCTTGAATAAATTCATCAAAATCTATCTTTCCATTTGCGGCAAGTGATCAGTAGGCACAACAGCCCTTTCCGAGCAACGACAGGTTCTGCCAAAAGGCCAACAGTCAAGTGACACTGCTACATGTATCATTGAAATTCATACCGAGATCTATCATTTGTAGAAACAATGTTAGATTGCTACATTATTCGTTGCAGGTACCTGAAAGGCTCTGTAACAACTCAAAATTCGGCATCCATACGGGACTTCCACCTTCCGTATCCTGATCGATCCAATTAGCAAGCTCTGCGACCATTGGCCAAGCGCCCTCGAACTCTCCCACCGCTATTCCACCGTCGTCGGACATCAAGAACTGATTTGAACTGCTATCGCCCGGGCGTGTTGTGGTTTCGTTCCCACTGAGACCAGGATTCTGTATTCCACAACTCTCAGTAGCACTCGATGCTTTCCCGGCTCTCATTTGGGCCGATGCCATATCAGCAAGACCAGTCTCGTTATCCTGAAGCTTTTCCATGGCTGCATTCACCAGCACCTCGAAAGCGTCTCGATACTTGCGTACCCAGGGGGCCCTCTCACTCATGACGAAAAGCACCAGGGAGCAAGCTCTGATATCGTTTGACACAGGGACCGACCAAAGGGCATTGCCCTGGGTCCAGATTCCATACACGAGAGTGACTCCTGCAACAAATACTGTTTGGACTGCGATGAAGCTGTGGCCGTAATCCAGGGTCTGATGTAATCTCTTGTGTGCTTGGCAGATATCACCTGCGGCTCGCATGCACAGTCCGTAGAATGGGTCTGTTGCTGGTAATATCGGCAAAAATGGCTGAATTAGGAGACGGAGGGCACGATTGTAGAGTAGGAGTGCATAGTTCAGATCTGGGTGGCCTGCCGGAATCCAGTCCGTCAGAGAGTCCCGCCAGAATTTGAGTTTCTGATGCAGCCGGTCTAATTTAGGCCGGAGTGCGTCCAAAGTCTTGTCCGTGCGATAGACCGAGTGATGAATCTTGGACTCGATCCTGCGGAGCTTGAAGAGAACAAGTGCCAGTGTTATATCGTTCCCCACGATTATCGAAGCAGATGGACTTCCGTTGATGATGCTATTCGGAAGCTCAACGTCAATCTGATTGTCTGCGATGCTCAAAGGTCGACCGAGTGACACTGCTATGGTCCTTTCGAGAGAATAGACAGACCAGAAAAGTCTGCGTCTTCTTTGAACGAGAGGGTCATCAAGATTCTGTTCGTGTGCAGCACGATGCAGGCCCAAGTCGATTGATGTTCTCATTGCTAAGCCAATCATGTACCAAAGGCCATGGCTAGATGTTGATCGAAGGTGAAACATAACAAGTAACGTCATTGCCTCAATGTTTTGGACTGTTCTCGACTCTCTGGCCGCTGAGATATGCTGCAAGGCAGTGATATAGAGAGCCTTGGGGAATTCTGTTAGTCGTCTCGGTGATACGATTTCATAATAGCGCAAGATCATACCTCTGGAGATAAAACTGGCCCTCTCTGAGTCAGTTGCACTAAGGTCGCCCCCATAGCGTACACGAGATACAATTTGAAGATACCGAAGCGTTCAACCCTTGTGAGAGTTTGTGGTGGTTTGGCAGCCAGGGTAAGTCTCTCGCTATGCAACTTCCACAACTCTTCAGGCTCGAGGAAGGGGTACTTAGAGTGCAGCTGAGACGTGTACGCCTTGAGCATTTGAGACCCCTGTTCATCACTCGGAGGCTCCTTGACGCTATGAGCCAGGAGATCTTCCACTGTAATACATCTCGGACTAGGATTGATGCAATTAGCTTGATTGCCCGCGGTTCCATCCTGGATGTCTGGCAACATCTTATTCCAGACAGTCGCTTGAACCATCTCGCCAAGATTCAGAGCTAGGGAGAGTCCCGATGATGGCCCAACGTAGGCTGGAGCCTCAAAGTTTCCCAACGAGACATGTGCTACTACATCACTAAGGGCATTTTTGTCTCTACCTGACGAAACCGAGTAGTTGCTTGCGGTTTCCCTCGGAGTTTCGGTTGCTTCTGGAATAGGGACTTGAGCTAGCTTGTTCTCCAAGAAAACTACTCGCTCTTCTAGAGCCCGTGTGTACCTGCATCAGAGTTCAGTCCACACACATTGGATCCAAAGACATGTCAGTTTGATGGGCATTGAACTACCAACTACTTACGCAGTCGATGGAGCGTCGTCGGCGACATCTGCCTTATCACACTGTGCTCCTGATTTACGACAATTGGAGCAAGCAGGAAATTGGTCGTCACACTGAAGCTAAAATCAGAGAAAAACGTCCCTCGTGCAATCTTGATTGGCTCTGGATAAGTACCTTTTGCTTACGACTTTTGCATCTCGTACACGCAGTCCTGCCCCTCTTCCGGGGATTTACAGCTACGGCCCCGGGCGTGGCCAGGGGCGGTGATGCAGAGTACTGAGTTTCGGACGTCATGCCCGTCCTTTGATGCCAAGGTTTGTCGTGCTGGAGACCCCGAAAACTTCGTTCGGACGATAGGGGCGGAGATCCGATTTACATAGCTGTCGGATCCTCCTCAAATTTGCGGATGTCGCCTGAATGCGGTCGGTTGTTGGAACTAATCCGTGCAGGGCTAGTCTCTTCGGACAACATCCGACTTTATTTGCAGTCACCTCCGATCGGAGGCTCCGACCTTACTTGTGTCAACTGGCCGTTTTCGGCATTCGACTGTCACAACAGGGAGCTTTCTGGCCGAAATCTTGGGATCTTAACAACAAGCGGTGTTTGGTCGACTACCAATTGCGCGATAATTGTCCACGATTCTCCGTTTCTTTCGGCTGGTCTACATCCATTGGTTCATTTCCCCGAGCCAGTCCTCGATTCCAATGAGCCAGAGAAGACTCCATATCTCAAAGTAGGATGGTATCATGACACGATCAAGATCAAATTCTCACGAAGCCTTCGGCAATTGTCTTTCAAACAGTTTGACATTAACTACATACATGTGATTTATTTACCCTTCATCCACTCCCTGTTTGCCTTGTATGGAAATTTTGTTCTCATATGTTTGGCAATGTCTCGTCTCGTTGTGACCCAAACTCCTTCCTTTTCCGCAATGTACTTCATGAACTTCCTCAAAGCCTCCGATCTGCCTGGTTTCCCAATGATACGTGTATGCAATGGAATATTCATCAACTTGCCGCCCTCTCTGTACAAGCAATCAAAGGTGTTCTTCAAATACTGCTCATAAGTCTCCGCAACAGAACTGCCAAAGCCGGGCGACATGTGGAACTTTCCGTCGTTGCAATCGTAATTGTAGGGGATGAGCAGCATGCCTTCTCGCTTCTCCTCTGGTAACTCCTTCTCCCATGGCAAGTCGAGCCAATATGGAACATCATCGTTGTAGCATTCAGAAGACCAGAGAAACTCTCCTCCAAGACTCTTCCATACTTCCGGGAACAACGAGGGGGTATTGGGTGTACCACGGCCAAAGTAAGCGCCGACGGGCATCTCACCTGATACTTCTTTCAGCATCAAAATGTTCTGCCTAATGTACTCCTTGTCCTCCTCGAGCGAGTAGTTCCAGATATCCAGCCATCTGAGTCCATGACAAGCGATTTCGTGCCCGTCTCGGACCAGCGCCTTTGCAAAGGTGGGGTTGCGCTTGAGCGCGTATGCAACAGCGTAAGTAGTGAAGCTCCAACCAAACTCTTTGAAGAGACGGATAAGACGCCAGGAGGCCGAGCGACTGCCATACTCAAAGTCTTGCTCAGCATTCAGATACCTGGCGCCTTCTTTGTAGCCACCAGATGCGCCTTTCTCCCACAAGTACGGTTCTGAGAAAGGGTCTCCGTCTAATGTGCTTCGTTCTCCGCCTTCCCTAGACTCAGGTTTAGTAACAATAACATAGAGTTAGTCGAAATCGGACATACTCATAGTTGAGGACGAAGGAGACCGCAATACGAGCACCGTTTGGCCATTTTGGATCGAAGCCGTCCTCGCCGAAACCTAGGGGTTATCGAATTAGTGACTGCGACTATGGTGAGAGTAACAACAGACTCACCCTCAAAATCACGAGGTATCTGCAAGCTTTCTTCAACATGAACCATTTTGGTAAAGGCAGAGAGTAATCGGATTGTGGATGATGGATTTCAGCGACTAGAGAAAATCTAAAAGAGCCGTGTTTACTACTTTAGCTATCTGAGCTGGCACAAGAGATGTTGAAAAAAGAAAGAATTCAATGTGTAAAGGCGCCATGATATATTACATCCAGCTCAAGGTGAGGCTCTTCGATGCAAGATGGTCTCGTGGAGGCCAATCAGGCGTTATCGCGATATGGTTGATACCAAGCGGGGTATTGCTGATGGTGGGGAGATATTCCACGAGATAAGGCGATGGCGGCGAATAACTAGGCACCTAAGGTGCGTTTTACTGCCGGTTCATTCCCTCCGATCGCTCGATAACTTACATGGAATTTCGGACGCCCGAAGACGCTAAGATAAGTCGTTTTTGAGCAGGCAGATAGAGATAGGCAGTTCGCCCAACGATGCCGACGTGGACTTACCTATCTTAGTACGGTTCACGCGATCTAGGCCGGGCATAATAACTCACATTTGACGCCTTGATAGATGCCCAGTCAGGGACGGACCACAGCCTATGTGCAGAATCCATTTCCCAGCTTAATCTGAAACTTTCTAAGTCTTGAATCCCTTTGAAGCATATTAACAATATGTCTGTCTTCTCATTGGAAGTAGAAAAGGCAAACACAGTGACAGCAGAAGTCCTGGACGACAGCTTGCGGGCACTGGGCGTTACGATCAAACCGGAGGAAAAAGATGAATACCAGAGGCTTCTAGCCGTGTTCCACGAGTCTGTGGTGGATCTTATGTCACTCCCTGGTAGGTTGCATGTCCAAGCCTTGATTAAAGGCATACCAATAACAATCTACATCGCAGATTATGTGCCTCCAGTAGATGAGGAAAGATTCCCAAGAGAGGACATTCGATTTCCAGATGTCTCGGAGAATCCTTTGGGTGCTTGGGCTTGGAGGTGCCGAGTAGAGGACAAGACCAAGGGCGAAGGATTGCTGGCAGGCAAAACGATAGCCATCAAAGACAACATCGCAGTCAAGGGCGTTCCGATGCTTCTTGGAACCGACTTTGTAAAGGACTACATCCCAGTAAGTAAAATCAACATGGCTTAATGTTGTTCTGATCAATCATACTGACCTAAGTAGAACACCGACGCAACGTGTGTTACAAGGCTGCTAGAATCTGGTGCAATCATTTCTGGAAAGTCAGTATGCGAGAATATGTGTCATTCCGCTACGAGCAGCTCTTCTTCAACCGGGCACGTACATAACCCCTATGCCAAAGGTTACAGCAGCGGGGGCAGCTCAAGCGGCTCAGGGGCACTAGTCGCCAACGGAGACGTAGACATGGCTCTTGGCGCTGATCAAGGCGGTTCTATCCGTGTCCCTGCCGGATGGTGCGGCCTCTACGGATTAAAGCCGACCTTTGGACTCGTACCATACACCGCTTGCGGCTCGAATGAGCCTACTAATGACCACGTCGGACCCATGACACGAACGCTTCTCGACAACGCGTTGATGCTTCAGGTCATTGCAGGCAACGACAATATCGACGACAGATCGTTTGCAGCGCCGAGCACAGACAACGTTCCCAAGTACTATGACAACCTGACGAAGCTAAACAACCCGAAAGATCTATCGGGGATGAAGATCGGCATCTTGATAGAAGGTATGAATCAGCCGTCTGTGGAACCTCGCGTCAAGGCTTGTGTCGAGGCTGCTATCCAGTGTTTCCGAAACCTTGGGGCGACCGTGGAAGAAGTCTCAATTCCATTTCACTCCAAGGGAGCAGCGATTTGGACTGCCATCAGCAAGAGCGGAGGCTACCTGGCCAAGAGAAACCTCGCATTCGGCAGGAGAGGCCATATCATGACCGACTTAACAGACAAGTTTCAGAATCTTACCCAAGAGCAGTGGGACAACGCGTACGTTTCGTCAAAGAACATCTATCTCAACGGTATGTATGCGCAAGCAGTGTTCCCAGAGTTGCTTGGCAAGGCGACGAATCTCAGCAGAAAGCTGCGAGACGGCTATGACAATGCTCTGCGAGAATTTGATATTTTGGTAACGCCGAACTTACCTTACGTTGCCAATTCCCATACTCCCTATGACGCGTCCCCGCTCGAAAAGATTGGAAAGCAAGTCGGACTGACTGCTAATACCGCCCCATTCAATCAATCGGGCCATCCGGTTCTGGCTATGCCGATTGGTATGCTTCCGATTGAAGAAGGTCCTCTGAAAGGTTCGGGAACAAAACTGCCGGTGAGCATGCAAATCATTGGCAAGTGGTGGCATGAACAAGATGTTTACCGCGCCGCATACGCCTGGAGCTTGCAGTACGATTGGAAGACTAGATGAAGGCACTCGGCAGTCGGAAATTTCGCCGTAGGTTCTAGGCGAGTGTTTGTGCTCGCGAGAGTTAGCATCGGGGAGGTGTAGTCTTCTGAGGAGTCAGTCAGGCAAGTTTACACGATTGTCCACAATCTTGCAATAATGTGGCGAGTGGAATCGAAACTTTCCTTCACCTGAGTACTTTGTCGAGAGTTGATTGATCAAAAATGAAAATCAAGGCCTGTCAAAGCACTTGCTTGACTCAGACTTCAAGTGTTAGTTCGGGTCTCATTGCTCCGAGAATCGGAGCTACTGTCGTACTACGCCTCTAGCGGGCGCAAACACGATGTAGCGGTAATACGATAAAGTCCCTTACAGAAAATGAACAAGCTGGTGTCCATTCATTTCAGGGACAGGCGGTGTACAATGCTCCTGCACCATTACGTTGTGCGACGCTCCGACTGTAGACGGACCCGTGTCCGGCCCTTGAACGGCTCTCGGAGGCCTCAAAGCCGGCCGACCTCGGGGGCTGCGATTTCGGCCTTCTTGCCCTGCGCCGGCTCAGCGGCGCCGACAGGAGGGGCCAGAAATGCCAGGTGAACCCCCACGCCCCGGCCCCGGCTCATTTCCGTATTTTCCAAGGTGGCCCAAACTTTTCTAACCCGGAGAATGATGTTAGATAAGACACTTGCAGCCTCAGTGGAGCTCCAAGTTGTCGCCCTTGTCCAATATCAAAGCCTGATTCCAACCCGAAGTGGAGGTGACAGACGTAAAAGGTTGCAGATATTCCCCGCTGCGGAGACGCTCCGCTAGCATACAGCTCCAGAGACCGGGGGCCCAATGAAACATTTTTGCTGGTTTTGGGGCTTTTTTCTCACAAAGACCATGGATGATGTCTTTGAAGGCGTTTCGGAGGTGATAGTCCCAGTGCCCGACTTCGGAATCTTGATCCCGAGGTGGATAAGTATGCAGCCGAGAATTTTCTGACATTTTTCTGGTATGGTTTTGATGCTTTATATACAACGCTTTGCCCCCCTCAAGAAACGGAACAATTCAGGACTGGTTATTCTTGTTTTTGGTGGACACATTTTCTTGGCAATCCCTGTCGCTCTCCTTTCAACTCGAGCTCTTTCAACTCGAGCTCTCATCAGCTGCCTAGTTGAAGTTCAAGTTGTCAATACAGCTTCTCCACTACTGTTGCTTCTTCTCCATGTTCGAATCATCAACGTCATCATGTCCACCATGTCTGAACACACATTGTCAGAGGTTCCCACGAGGAAGGACGAGCTGCCTCCCGACCTGCTGGCGTTAAGGACCTCCAACGCTGAGAAGGGTGTGAACATCATTGCTCAAACACCCAGCCGACCATACTCGTACCGTGAAGATGAGACAGTCTACGATCGCTTTACACCCGGTCGCAAGCGGCTGATCACTGCCATTGTGTCCTTCGGTGGCTTAGGCATCAACCTAGCTTCACTGCTCGTGCTTTCAGCGCTGCCGGAGGTGGCAGCGGCTTTCAACACAACTGGAACTGTCATCAATTTCACCAATGCTCTTTTTCTGTTAATGATGGGCATTGGCGTTCTCTTCTGGGGCCCACTAAGTCAGGTCTACGGTAGAAAATGGGTAAGCAAAACCACCTTTGTACATCTCACCATCATGTATCATAGTTGCAGTCAGCTTTTAATCGGCCAATTTGGCATACATCTCACCCTGCACTTGAACTAAATGTCCTAGATCTTCGTCATATCGACAGTGTTGTTCTGCGCGTTTTCACTGGCCACAGCGGTTTCCCCCAACCTACCAGCTTTCTTCATCTTCCGGTCAATCACTGCATTTGCGGGAACCTCTTTCCTTATCGTTGGATCAGCCTGTCTCAGTGACATTTATCGTCCGACTGAACGCGGCACGGCATTGGGTTGGTTTCTTGGAGGCACTCTGTGAGTCCCAGCCCCTTCCCACTCTGCCCTTTTCTGGTCGACCGAACATCCATGGCTGATACATGTACTCTTCATAAGGATCGGGCCTGCACTTGGTCCATTCATCGGAGGTGTAATTGTCACGTACTCAACCTGGAAATCTCTTTTCTGGTTCCAGGGCGCTCTCGGTGGCGCTGCTATGGTCCTGGCAGTCGCCTTCCTCCCAGAAACAAGTCACGGAAAGTGGTCTGAAGAATTGGAGGGAATGACGACCAAAGAGAAGATTGGGCAGATCTGGGAGTGGGCCAATCCGTTCCGGGTCATCAATCTCTTCCGATATCCCAAGATCCTCATTGTGGTGAGTCTTCCACGCCTTTTCGTCGTCAACGAGCCTTTGAGGTGTTCACCAGACCGATTACGGTAAACCAACGGCAGTCCTAGTGGATGTTTAGCTACGGCGGTAAGGCCCTTCACCAACGTGTATCATCAGCTGACTATACACTCAGGGTGTTGCTGCATCGTCAGTCCTGTGGAATATGCAGGTTCTTTTGACACCAGTTCGCTACGTTATCAACCCGAGATTCCACCTTACCTCCCCTTTACAGTCAGGATTCTTCTTCTTGGCACCTGGAGCAGGATATCTCGTTGGTACCTTCTTTGGCGGCCGATATGCCGACTACACTGTGAAGAAGTGGATCGCCAAGAGGGGGCGACGTATTCCGGAAGACCGTCTGCGAAGTGCTTTTATCGCTTTGGGTGTAGTGATCCCAGCCACTACCATCATCTATGGATGGGCAATCGACAAGGCTAAGGGCGGAATTCCTCTCCCCGTTATCTGCATGTTTTTGCAAGGCGTTGCGCAGATGGTCTGCTTCCCTTGCCTTAACAGTTACTGTCTAGATGTCTTCAGAGAGAGGGCAGCTGAAGTCATGGGTAAGCATACTGAGCTTTCTCCTATCGACCTAATGACACACAATCTGACCGTAAATTTCCAGCTGGCAACTACTTCATCAGGTACACTTTTGCAGCCATCGGTACGGCAGTAGTGCTTCCAGGCATTCAGGGCATTGGTGTGGGTTGGTTCTCCACAGTGAGTGCTCTCTTCGTTGCGATTTCAAGTGCTGCTGTGTGTGGTATTGTCATCTTCGGTACGAGACAGAAGAAAACGGAGGAAAAGTCGGAACGCGCCTGAGCTTTTGGGATGGCTGGAGTTTCAATGGATATTAATATCAATCAAGCTAAGTCTTCAGTTTCTGTTTTCTCGTTCACCTAGCAAATTTTCCCGTAGCTTATACCTTAGAATCCAATTCTACTGGTATTCCCTCATCACTGAATACTTGAATTGGACCTGAGTGTTGCAGACTGAGTCATGATAAAGGCAGGACAATCGACGTGCGGAAGTAGATTTAGCTCTTGCATTTTTTGCGCTGCTACATGAACTGGGACAAAAATCGTGAGAGGTTTAATCTGAAAAATTTTCTTTCAAGAATAGTCCCGGACATCACGTTCTCTCCATGTAATTGAAATAGATAGAATGTAGATTTCGGCCGTGGGCTATGGCCGGTGTCGTGCCAAGGGCGTGGGCAAGATGGAGACGTCTGAACGAACGCAACCAATCAGCTTGCATCTGAACCTGTTGCTTTGACAATAAGGCGCCCTAATAAAGGCGAGACTTTCCTTCAATAGCCGGTCAAAGACAAAGGAACACAGCCGACGCGGCTCGACGCGCCCTGCCAGTGGAAAATTAGCGTTTTAGCGACGTGTCTTCCAGAAGCATCGATTTTGGGAAAGTCATATGGCTAGGGTCAAATGAAGATGACGGCAGGTCTGCGATATTTTGGAATCGTACAAAAGGGCATCAGAACCAGATCACTGGGTTGCATAAGAAGTAATCCGAACCGTCCGATCAGATCTGCCACAGTTGTCGGCAATCAGTTGCAGCAGAAACGCACGCCACGTGGCGCCACGCAAATCCCGAATCACTACAATCTGTTCTCAACTTCGACGACATCAACCATGGCAAAGTTCTCCGATGTTAAAGAAAGTGTTCTCATGACGGCCACACTTAAGCCAGCATCTCTTGATGACGCCACAGCAATATCAGAACTCGCAACCCATGTCTTCACGGTCACATTCGGCCATTCAGTCGAGCCGCATGAGCTCCAAGCGTTTCTAGAGGAGTCGTACAGCCTCGAAGCCATCACACAAGATCTCGACGACCCCAACAAAGACACGATACTCGCTGTCGATCCTACTGGAGACATTCTGGGTTTCGCCATGCTCACCCGAGGCTCATCAGAGCCATGTATTTCAGATCTCGACGGTACTATTGAGCTGCAGAGGATTTACATGTACCCGAAGGCTCAAGGCACAGGCGCTGCAAAACTTTTGGCAGACAGACTAGAGTACATGGCTAGGGAACAAGGGTTTAAGCACATTTGGTTGGGCGTTTGGGAAGAGAACCTCCGGGCGCAAAAGGCGTACGGGAAATGGGGGTATGAGGAATGCGGTACCCATGACTTTGCTATTGGATCAGTGATCCAAACTGATAACATAATGGTAAAGAAGCTCTGATCGGCCCTGTCACAGACTTAATGTAGATTTGGAGTTTGCTTTACGTTGGATTCGAGTGCAGCAGAGAGTTTATTTCAGAAATTACACCCCTAGACATTTTGATAGAATCCGTGATCCATCTAAACGTACCCATAACTTGATCTCCTTGTCCTTGTAACTTGTTCATTGACGAATTCCGCTCAGAACTTGTGTGCACTTAGCCCAGAGCAATCGAAGATTTACGGTGGCGCCAGTCTTGCGTTCTCTCACATCTCTTGAGTCTCATCGAGTAGGTCTTTTGTCAATGTTATGCAACTCTAGCGGGAATCTCAGGCGGCAGCTCGCCCCATTGCAACTCTCTCGAGGGCACTGATGGCCAAAGACGCAATTTGGATCGGTACAGCTGAGGCCTGTATGGCAGTGAGACTGACGAGCGACAGCCCAGAGAACTTGCAACTCTTTTGGGCTTAACCTGCCTCGGTGCTCGTGTGAACACTTCCCGTAAGAATCCCTATATGGGCATCTGCCCAAAAGATGAAAGCTATTGCATAGCTTGCGGTTCTTCATCAGGATGAATTCCTGATGGGTAAAATCGAGTGGCGGATCAACTCGTTGTCCAGCCTTGTTCTGAAGCACCTGCCCCAAGGTGGGCAAAGTCATCCTGGAGTCAACTGTGATTTGCTGTCGTACTGACAGGTCTCCAACAAAAGCTGATGGAGCTCTTGCAGCGGCTGACGCATAGTTGGGCGAGGGGGTTGATGGTGGTGTGATATTGTATGAAACCTTGCGCTTGATGTTGTTGAATAGTTTCTGACGCCTGAATACCCTCTTGAAAGAAGCAACGCGGAACTGGTCTTTGATCTCGGCTAGCTCCTGCGCAAATGGGGGTCCCTCAAGAAGTACAATCTTCTTGCGAATCTCATCGTTATCAAGATGCGATCCCAACAGGCGAGCGTAACCACTGTCTGCCGAGCCACCAAACAAAACGTGTCGACAGTGAACATCCGACACACTGGACTCGAAGTTTGCTGGAGGCCTTTAGTTGCCGCCCTTTGAATGCCTTTTTGAGTTAACTCACCCTTCAATTTTTCATCCGTACACTCTTTGCCATTACCCGCATCAACAAAGTCGCACATTGCGTTCCACATGTTGAAGCCTCGGACGAAATCATCCAAAACGCTCGGATCTGGGATAATTCCCATTTCGGTGTAAGTCTTGGCCAGACCCTTCAAGTTGGCGTAGACGCGGACGGCAAGTTGCAGGTGGTGCGGAAGACAGGGGTCAACCGCTTTTAGCTCTTCAAAAACGGCGAGGCGTAAAAGGCTTGCAGCTTTCTTGCCTCCCTCAAGTCCTTGCTCGATGAGATCACCCAGAAACTAATTATTCGCAAAGTTGTCACAAAACTGAGATATAGGTTGATGGGATGCAAGAAGGCTAGATAGTTCAAACTTACTGGCATACAATCGCCGTCAACGAGGACCATCGCAAAACAATGTTTGTCCTAGCTAGGTCAGCGCCTTCCCACCTGTTGAAGCGGGTTGCACAACGTACTTTCTCATTTTGCAGCTTTTCGATCTGATCTTTGCTCTTGTCATCGGTATCAAACAAAGACCGTACCAGCATCTTCTTCTCCTTGAGCTCCATCTTAACCTCGGAGAGCTTGTCGGAAAGCTCTGCAATGTGAGAAAACAAGTCCTAAGTGAGCCGGTCAGCTACTCGTCAAATCATGGATGATCCAGATAGGGAGTACGAAAATACCTCAATGAGGGAGGCCTTGTGGTCATCCAGACTTTTGCACATCTGCCATCTTTCCTCTAGCGATAGCGGTCCTTTGCTGTCTGCGTTGGACATGTCGAACACTCACCGAGTTCCGTTAGGCGCGATCAGGAAAAACTCGTGCGTGACCTCAAATTCAATCAATGGTCCTTAGAATGCCAAATGGCTCGATTTAAATAAAGCTATTCACGCGGTGAAGTCACGCAGCCTTGAGGGCTTCAAGGCGTACGGGTTGGTTGCACTGCATTGCCGTCAGCGAATTAGAGAAACCGATCCTGTGGCACATGGTTTGGCGCCAGGCCTCCTCCAACAGCACCGCCGCAATTCAAGATATTGGGGCTGGCCGCATATTGGTTGGCCTGCTGCGGCGAGTGGTTGGATAGGTTTGGCGTGGTAAGTCTGCCTTGTGTTGGCGTGGACTTGCACTTTGGGTCTTGAGAGAAGCAAACTGAACGACCAACTGCACAATCAAGGCGGAACCTATCTTCGTTCTTAGAGAAGGCTGTGTTTCGAAGGGGGGCCAAGACAAAACTTGCACCGCTCGATACTGACACGCAACTTATGAGTTGCACTAAAGATATCATCAATTAGAACAAGTTACAAAAAGCGGTGAATATTTTAAAGGCTAAACCCATTATTCTTATCCCTAAATTTCAAGTAGGGCGACTCCACTGAACTCCAATGCGATGCTAAGCACAATCCAACTCTTCATTTCCAAACGCCAGCCAAATTCCCTCTTAGAGTTCCAGATTTTGATACGCGTGTAAATTCATCCCATTCCTGCCGTATGACTCAAGACCAACAGCAGCCACCGCCAACAAGTTTCATTCTTTTGAGCCTTTCGTAAATTCACTATCATGTAAGAAAACTACGACTGGACAGCCTGAGGCGTTCTGCTGAAGGTGAACGAACGCCAAGAAGACCGCTGAGCTGGCTTGTTATGAGTCGCCAGGCTAGCCAGGAATGCCGGTGAAATATCAGAGGCGGAAACGGAGGTTTCTGCACTCTTCTTCTTCTTATCTTGCTTTTTCGATTTTGCTTGCTTTTCAACCTTCGAAACCTCTGTCGGCTTATGACCGTTCAAGCACGCGTCGACCACAGACCTCTCGGGAAGCACTTCAGCCCCAGCCATCTCCCGTGTGGGCCAGGGAAACGTGGCGGCCATCTCCTGAATGGTAACGGCATCCATCTTCTCGAGGATCTCACGAAGTCGCGGTTCGAGGTTGTTGACCTGCTCAAAAGCCCAGTCGGCACGCCTCTGGATGCGGACACCGTCGCGACGCATCTGACCGACGAGCCACTCCATCGCCACGTGCTGCGGGATAAGTCGAGCGTTGCGCATCAGCCAGGCCATCATGTCAGGGTCGCCTGTTTGCTTGACTATGGGCAAGCTGCGACCGCCGTGCTCGCGCTCTTGGAGCTTTTGCAGAAAGTCGTGGTACATCCCCAGCGAAGAAGTCTGAAGGCCGACAAATTGGCCATGGAAGAGAGCGCGAGCAACTTCATCGGCCCATGCAATGCCTGCCTTCATGCCAGAGTTCGCACCTCTCCCAGGCCAGAAGTGCACTGTCATTGCAGCATCTCCTGCCAAGGCAACAAGACCATGGGGTCTACGCAGGGCTGTAGAGTCGCACTGAGGAACCTGCTCGACGGCTTTGTTGATCCTGCGTACCACAATGGGGATGCGAACGATGTTTTTCACCTCGCACTGCTTGAAACCGTAAAGCTCCAGACCATCGAGAATCGCCTTCCATAGCGGGCTCTCAGGTTGCTGAGATGGCGCAAAGACCTGGTTCTCCTCGAACCCATCGGGCAGGCAGTCGTTGATCTTCAAGCAGCTTGGTCGACCGAATGTGCAGGGATGGCCATCGACTGAGACCATCTGGTGCCATTCAGTCTCGGTCAACTGCATGTTGAGATATCCTGTACCATCGAAGTCGCTGGCATTGAGAAGGTAACGAGTTTGGCCCATGGTGAGGAAGATGTTGATGGGCTGCGAGAACGGAAGGCCATGAGGCCGATCAAAAGCAACCCCTAAGGCATAGCTCTTTCCAACTTCTTGTTCCTGTCCAGGAAAATAAGCACTGCGGAGCCATGAGCCGGCGCCGTCAGCACCAAGCATCAGGTGAAAGTCGCCGTACTCGGAAATATTGTCCTGTCTGACCTGCGACGCGTGTAGGAAGATGAGGTCGCGGAACTGGCTATCTTGAGCCCGTCGTAAGAGACCGTCTTCGAGCTTGCGTATCTGAAGATTGCTGGAACCAGGCCAAACACGTTCGGGATTTCCACCAAAGACAGCCTGTTTCGTTCTATCGCTCATCAAGTCTGTCACGGTGTCTTGGAGCGTGACTACCTGGTCGCGACGACGAGCCCCTGGTGGGTAGCTGACGAAAGAGCTACCCGGCTGCTGAATCCATCTGCCTTCGTAGAGATGAACCTCAATCCTGGGTCCGGCCTTCTCGGCGAGAGCAATCGCTGAAGCTAGGCCTGTAGGACCTCCGCCGATTATCATGACTTTGAGAGGAGCTGCTGGATATTGATAGACAACCGGGTCTTGAGGGAGTTGAGGTAGGTTACGAGCCACCGATGGATCAAAGAAGAAATCGCGAACTCCGTTCGTCTTGGTGGAGGTAAGAACTTGGCTCTTGATGAGCACAAAGCGCATCCATTGCAAAAGCGAGGTCGTGTTGAAGGTCGAATGACGGCTGCCAAAGACATGCTTTTGGACTGAAGACGCAAGAGAGGCAACATCTTGGTGCTTAGGATTTGCTGCGATGGACCGGAGCTCGCTGTTGATGGAGGCATCATCTCCGCGGTAGAAGAACAGAAACGCTTGCGCGCGCTCAAAGTTGCTCTGGCCTGATGCATTCCATGCCGCTTCCCAAGAGCGCGGAAACTGAATGCTGTCAATCTCAAGTGATTGTATGGAGAATGAAGGACGGCTGTTAAGCTCAGGGCTGGACATGGCCGGAGGAGAACCTGAGCGGCTGCGGATAGAAGTGAGCATCGGCATTATTAATAATAGGTATAAAAAATGAGGTATTAATAGTTTACACTGAGTATGAGGTCGAGAGGAAAGGTTTGAGGCTTGAAATGGGAAAAGGAAAAGGAGTAGAAGAGGAAAATTGAGAGAACAGAAGAAAAGAAGATGTCTGAGATGTATCGTGTGGTGAGGAGTATTGGGAATCCATTTTGATTTTCGAGAAGCGACTGCCTCCGATATATACAAATTGTGACTGCGTTCTGATTCTTGAGAATAGGCAAATAGTCAAGATCTTCAGATAAACCCCCAGTCTGTATCACGCCCGACGTCAGGGCAGTGCCATCTTACCAGCACTGCCCACCGACCTTGTATCATCTCTGTACCACAGCATCAGCCCTATGAATGACGCACAAGTTAGGCTTCCCCACCAGGTCCTGTCGGATCAAAGTTGAGTGCATATTACAGGTTGTGGCTGGGCGACATGTGTCTGCATCTACCAGAGACTGTCTTTGGTCTTGGTGGGGAAGTTGGGGAATGCGAGCACAGCATTCTGGTCCGAGAAGAGCGAGCTACGACTTGAAGGATTCGGATAGCATGAATGGAAGGGCCCCCAGCCTTCCCGCCGCACGTATGCATCTATCGCACGAGACGTGGCATCCACTAAGAGCGCTTCTAGGTACCGCTATGATGGCTTGGAGTGCGGGGACGGCCAGAGCAAGCATTCACGGTTGACTCCAGTCGGCTCGGCCCTAAATAGATGGGCAGGGTAGGTTTCCTGATTGGGAAGAACTGCTGCAGGTCAAGGTGGTAATATCGTTCCGAACCACTGATTACTGACCACCCTCGCTTATGTCACCTCAAGAAGTGCTTCATGCAAACATGCAGACTTGTGCTTACTTCCATCAGTCTTCTTCGGTGCCGCAGGCCAGATAGCCGTCAATCTGGGAGCATGTATGCAGCGAAGGGAAGTAGTAGGATTCTTTGCATAGGGTGACTGATCCGATAGGTGAAGACGTTTGACGAACACGTCACGTATATTTAGCTTGGCATGGGGTTGCATTGAGAAACTACGTGTGTCACTCTCACCGCGTGCATGTCCTTCCCACGATCATTCTGTTCTTTCCCTTTGTTCGAGTTGGGCGCGTAATATGATAGCTGATGTCTCGGCAACCTAGATATTCAGGAGCTCTAGTCTCTGTGCCGTACTCAGCCACCACTGATGAGTGCCAGGAACACAGCCCATGCGATATCGGCAGTATCTAGTCGCTCGCTCCAATGATAGCATACACAATTGCTGGCCCGTCTTCTTCCCTCACAAGGCATCTGACTGGTTTTGTCTTTTTTGTGTGCAGCCGCTGAACCACTCTTTGCGGTTGTTTCAGCGTCTACGTTTCCAATGAGCTTTTGAACCTGGCAAGGTACGTGTAGGGTTTGACAAGTCACTAGGCAACACTCTCCTTTAGAGAAGACGTGATCTTCTGCGAGCGTAGACCGGTATGGGAATGCTGACTTTGCAGCACATCAAGCCAGACCATCTGATCATGCCTCGCGTGTAAGGACTTTTCTCCTTCATTGCTGATTGTACCTTGGATTTTTTGTTTCACAGCCAAAATGTTTGTGCTAGAAGTCCCCATTGGTAGTATTGGTAGATGGCCAGCCCGTCAAGCATGTGCATCATTCTAGTGATATTTTTGATACCACCCAAAAAACTGGAAATAGCTCTCACATTTCAGCCCATCCTCGAGCACAGCTCGCGCAGGATTTCACCAATCAAGCACCTGATCCTATTGTAACCTACATTCGAGCACATCGCCACTATCAAGCATAGCTAGGCTGGTGCAAACTCGATGGACTTGCATTTCTGCCGCCTTCCACCCAAGCCATCCTTGATCCTCACCTCTCTGATCCAGCGAATATGGAGAGGCAAGCACATATCTAGTAGTAGCAAAGATAACAACAAGTACTCCCCTCTCCCCAGCTCATTATCAAAAAGCTCTACATGAGGCACAGCAGCTTGAACGGGAACTCGTGATCTGACATGCATCAACGAGAAGCTCGCTTAGACGACAGAACTCTTCGTTGGTCATGTTGCAGCGAGATCAACAGGGGTTAGGGCCCTCCCGCGCGCCATATCAGACTCAACGCCCAATCAACAAGTGGTGAGCTAGTCGACTTCAGGCATGATGCAGAATGAATCATACCGGACCCAGATCAACTGCTCGCCGAACCTCGAACGGGGACACCCATGTCGTCCCCCGGCTCTAGCGTCTTGTCTGTGCGTGTTGAAGACTTGGACCTATTAAACAAGCAGCATCTTGTCCGTAGGCTTGCTTTGCACCTTGTTTAGAGCTCACATCATGTCACAGTGAGACATTTGCATCATTCGAAGCCTCTCACAGCAATTGCCAACGAAATTAATAAGCAATGTCAGCAACCACAAGCGCTGCACAACGTTGCAGCATCGACGCAACCCGGAGAATATTCCCCAACTCACCTCCCACGAACTCCCTCGTCTCCAAGCTCTCAATACTTGATTCGACAGTCGCTCGTTTCACACCCACAGCTGCGATATGGCTTTACGACAAGCCAAAAGCATTACAATTCTCACACACCGAGTTGTTCGAGACCCTCGGCCACGCATTGAGTCAAACGCTAGACAATTACCCGCACTTTGCAGGCCAACTCCAATGGGCTACACCTGAGCAGGTTCAGGATGATGCAGTCCCGCGACACCTTGGCCGGCTAGTCGTTGCGTATGGCTCGACCGAAGATCCGGGGATTGAGCTATCCATCGCCACGCACGACTCGAAGCTCAGCGATGTAGTTCCCAGCCGGGCCGAGAGATCGACGAATCTGAAAGAGTGGAACGCCTCGAGCTTTCAGCAAAGCGATTTCTTGCCAAAAACCAACATTGCGCTCATGTCTCTAAATGCTATCGAAGGGCTGCCTGTCATGGCTGTTCAGCTGACGTCCTTCAAGTGCGGAGGCTTCGGGATCAGCGCCATGATCTCGCATCCGCTAGCAGATGCTGTGTGTTTGATGAGTTTTATGTACTTTTGGGCAACAAGGTCGAAGCTTCTACTCGGTAATATTGCCGCGTCCGATGATTTAGGACTATTCAAACCTGTCTTTGATCCGGCTCAACTCGACCAGGTTGCGGGGCTCACACCGGGAGGTCCCCCGGACGCAGCAATAGTTGCAAAGGCTCGGGCACTGCCTATGCACCGGTTCGACTGGTGGGCAGAAGACGCACCAGGATATCCTCGCGCTGTCAGACCAGCTTCACTGGCCACCATGCCATCGCCGGACGAACCGGAAACGATCGAGCTAAGTCCGTCAACATATCCCCCGTGGCCAACTTGGGACATGAGTGTGCCAGTCGACCACGTTCAAATACGTTTCGCTGCAGCCGAGTTGATGCGGATGAAAGAAGCTGCACAAGATAGCTTGCCAGACGACATCAAATCACTCCGAATATCTAGGCTTGATGCAGTCCTGGCCCATATCTGGACTCTGATGAACCGTGCGCGCGGCCATGAAGGAAAACTTGGACAAGCGTATCTGAACATCACCTTGGGTCTTCGAAACCGCGTCGATCCACCCCTACCGGAAACCTTTGTTGGATCGCCTCTTCTCTTAGGATACGTTGAGGAAACCGTCAACGAAGCTAGCTCAACCCAGCTTGGGCCCATCGCCGGCGCTATCAGGCAGATGACGTCTCGCTTCACGCCAGACGCAGTGGCAGCTTATATTCATGACGCTGCACACGAGGTCAGCCCTCAGCGTCTATGGCAAGGCTTTTTGGGAACGTACCATACACTCGTGACATCCTGGGTGAGAGCCAAAACCTACGAGCTTGATTTCCTTGGCACGGACGAGTCGGCTCGGTACGTCCAGGGCGTCATGCCAAAGATTGATGGCTTGGTTCAGATCATGGATGTTGCCGACACTGGTGACTTTGATGTCAGTGTTTGTATGCAAAGAAGTGCCATGAACCGGCTTCTAAAGGACAGCGCACTCCGTCAATATGAGCAGGCGAGCAAAAGTTGAAATGAGCTATCTGTAGAAGTATCCTTAGATATACATAGATATATAATGGCATCAGCAAACTGCCGTCAGTACGGACAGAGAGGAAACTTGAGATAGGAAAAGATCAAAAAGAATGATTTTTGTCAATCGCTGACGGGAATTGAGCCCGACGTGGCTGTGAGACGTTTGATGTTGAGCTTGGAATGGTTCCAGGAGTTTCAAATAGACTTACGGGTCGAACCCACAACCTTGAGATTAAGAGTCTCACGCTCTACCGATTGAGCTAGCCGGGCAGGCTATTGAAGGTGTGTGATTGTTACGGGCGACTGGAGGTTGAAGATGCCGCATCGTGAGTTGTGCGTGGATCAGTGAGGGCTAGGCCATGTCGAGACTCCACCCGCAATATCACTAGCGGCTTCCACACTCCGATCTGAGAGCCAGAGTCCATACCAAAGAAACGTAATATCTACTCGACTCATCGAAATTGTACAGTATTGCCCATGTATCTAGTTGAGACGTCATGCTCAAGTGAGACGTCTCTTCAGAGTCTCGATCGAGGCTTATTCGATAATTACAACGCTACGGCGGCCAGTTCCCCATTTGCTTTTAAATCGATGGTGTAATTATTACACAGAAGAGCCTCGTATGTACAATGGTCCTGGCTGGCAATGCACTGGGCCTTTTCTGGCTATTATCATGGTACTTGCGGACATCTTTTGAGCACATGCAGTCCAACCTTCAAACGTGTATGGCCCCTATGCTTATGCGTAGACGTAGCAAAGAGGGGAGCCGCCAATAGTGTTCAAGACCTCGTCGATAGTGCGGTTTTCAGCATTGACGCCAAGATCAAGAATATCAGTCTTCAAAGCGTCTCTGCTAGCCGGCCTGTTGTTGATGGTAATCGTACCAGCAATGTTGACAGCGTCCCACAGATGGAGCGCCTGCCACAACCAATATACCCGGTCCACCATAGCATGGTGCAGGAAGAAGCTGGGGTCGACGACGGAGGAGTACAGGTCGCTAGCTTCACCGTTGACAGAGAAGTGGCCAGATGCGTGCATTCCGAGAAAACCGTCGGAGAAACGGCCCTGAAGCTCGTTCTGGAAGAGCTCGATGCTCTTGGAGGCTGCGCCGACCGTGATGTTGAGCATGTTCTCGTTCGTGAACCAGGTTGAGGCCGTGTAGTTGCTCAGATCGCGACTAAGGCAGCGAGGGTTGTAGCCAAGCTTGCCGGTCGGGCTGGCCTCGAGACCATCCATGCCGGGGTTGACTGGACCAAGGTTGACGGTCATGCTAGATGGATGTTAGCAGTCGACCAAGTAAAGACTACAGAGATCTACGAGGAAAGCTTACTTCTTGAAAGGACCGCTCGTGACACAGCCACCACCATCACCAGAAGGCAGGACAATGGCACCTGCACCGCTGACGCTGCCGTTGTGCTGGAGAAAGGAGCCGTCGCCGCTCAAGCTGGTATCGCTGCCATCAAAGACAGGGGATTTCCGGAGATCGTCCTGGTACTTCAACCAGTTCCAGTACTGTATAGTAATTGTCAGATCCGTTTCAAGATCTCCCGTCGATAGTAATGGAATCCACTTACGGGCTGGGAGCCCTTGTAGCCGCATTCGTTTCGCAAAGCCTCTTCATATGCCCAGACGAAGTAGCGGTGCCATGTCAAGAAGTTGCCCTGAAATGTCATTAGATCGTACCTCGATTGGTAGTAAGTGTGGATTCTACTAACAGTTCCGTGAATCTTGGTTGTCTGGTTGATGTGCACGGCAACAAAGTCATCGTAACGATTGCGAGCACCTGGGGCGAACTCGGGATCGGACTTGGAAGGCGATGTCAACAGGCACTGGACGGCACTGATGTAGTCTTTCCTCTCCTGCGAAGAGAATGCCTCCCTTGAAGGCGGGTCAGCTCCTAACTCGAGAGCTGCGTTGCAATGGTGGGGGAGCGACGAACCAGTCCCGACGGTAGCGAGCATTGAAGATATTGCAGCTACTGCGCTTGTTGCCCGCGCTTGACGCGGACAAGGCACTCATGGCCCGATCCTGGAGTTCGGCGAGAACATCGTGAGTCTCAATGGGCGAGGCAATGACTGGCGCAACCAGCATGCCAACGGCCGCAGCCGTGATGGTGATGGGAAGCATTGCTGGAAGTTTCTTGCTTGTTCAAGATGGAACACGCAGACTGCAGGGTAGTCGCGTGCGCAAGCAAGGAATTGGGGGAAAGATGTGGTCCAAGGCACGTCAACAGTCGAAGGGAACTGGACAAGACTTCGCCAGCAAGGAACCCGAGGTGCGCAAGGTCAAGTGGGAAGTGGGAGCGGACAGGACGGTCCGGAACAGTCACAAGAGAATAAACCACCGGACAGATCTCGTTAGCTATATAGACAGATGCATGTCCGACGTTGGGAATAAATTAAAGATCCCGTTGTTCTGCACTAGTGCCTCCGGCCATGGCCTGCAGGGCTTCGGATCCGCGGGACGGAGATGGTAACCGCACTGGGCAGCGGGAATAATCCAACAACGCCGCCGTTTTTGGCGGGAAGCATTGTATCCATTGCCGGGGAGAAACCATCATTGGAATGAATTATGAAGGGGGGTCACTAATCGAACGGTTTTTATGCTGTGGATAGGGCAACCAGGAATTGGAGAAGTCCAAGACTCGATAGCCCAGATCCGGGGCCCACGATGCTGGGATGAAGAATGTAACCTTCTTTAGGCCAAGCGCGGTGGCACGGAGCCGGCCGGTGGACGGGTGACAGGGGATATGCGTTGCCGTTGGTCGCTAACTCGCCACAGATTCAAAGTGGCGGATATTAAACGGCAACTGGCATCGGGAAGACGGCAAGTTGACGATAAGATTCGTTGTCCCAGTATGGGTTTACGATGATAATGAGCCAATAACTTAGTACGTGGACTAAGGTGAACTGTAATCACCTTGTTCCGTGGGCCAAATCTGTGCGGCATTATACACCCTCTTAGTCTTAGAGCTCCATAAGCTTAAAGTCAAAAAAAGGCTCGGACAACAACATGTTCATCCCAACTGCCCGCATGCAACAGTAAATTGCAACAGACAGTGTGTCCAGCTGGTCGGCCGTCGTCCGACTCCACAGCGTTCCGCTTCCCATGTCGAGGGCGACCAGCCGATCCGGATAGATCGTATGGTGGTTTGTTCAAAATCTTTATGTTGTTTCCACTGTCCCGTTTTAATCTTGGCATGCATGCCATGTCTTCCGACTGGCAGGCCACTAGATCCTTTCATGGGTCGGTGACACCCTCCATGCCTCCCACCCGATGCCGCCAACAACAATAACCTGGTGTTTATTTCTTTCTTTTTTCTGTGCCGCCAGGTTCTTCAGCCGGGGATCATGCAAAGATTCTCTCTTCGGTTCGATGGCCGACGCCGAAACCCAGTATTCTCCCCTCTTTTCTTCCGCGCCGACAGCGCGATACACTTTTGCAGGGTGGCTTGGAGGACTTACGAATTGCTGCTGCCCGATTGGGATGGCAGGATCAATATCGCTCCTTGACGCCGCTCCTCACCAACTAGCAATTTCGGGAAAATTGCTGAAGACTTTTGTGTTAACATGCTTCATTGTATCGATCATCTTTCATCTTGACAACTTAGGGGTAAAACTTACCGCAGCACTGCATTGTTTGCTGCTGCATACAAGCACCTAGAGACGCTTGGCGGCACTGCGACAAGGTGGCACGTAATGTGGGAGGCATCCATGTGGCCCCCGGGAGATCCTTCACACTCTTCTCATTCTACATCCTGCCCATCACCTGCTTAGGCGATCCTGCAGGTGCAGACTGTGCAGCACATTAAATCCGTCGATCCACTTCTCTACAAGGAAAACTCCGGTACACAATTCTCGAAGAAAAGAGTCAAGGTTGCGAACACCTCGCGGACTCGGTGCCAAATTCTAGGCCGAATGGGCTGATAGGCTCCCTGCTCTGGAACGCAGTCTAGAAGGGCACAGTGTATCACCTTCCCGAGGCAGACTGGAGTGGCTTCGTGGCAGAACGAAGACTTCCTCTTTGAACGGAGTCCAATTCCGTCACCCAATGATGACTCTTCTTACTATACCCGTTGCGTGATCTCCTGTGCTTGTATCCCTTCCGACAGCCCCGTTCGTACCGCGTGCGTGGTTACTGCAGTGTGGCCCCCGTGGATCGGGTTTCATCTATCTAAGGTAATTCCTTTTTCTCCTACAGAACGGATTATGAGCCCCCAATCTGCGGTACTAGATGGGAACGGCAAGATGCTTAAAAGAATCCGCAGATCCCCTCGCTGCTCAATGTGTCCACTCTCCTGAACCTTTGTGGCTTTCTTCGACTCTCCTTCCATCATCTGTGCGTCTGTTTGACGCCACGCAGCCGCGCCATCCGCCGCAATGTCTTCGACGTCCAGCACATCGGCCGTCGACCCGGAACGTGCCAAGGAAAGCAATACGGCTATGATCCTAGCTGTGACGGGGACATTCCACGCTCTCGCTCTCGTCTTCGTCGTCCTCCGAACGTATACCCGCGCCGCTATCGTAAAGACGATAGGCATTGACGATTACATGATGATCATGTCCGCGGTACGCCATCCAGGACACCGAGTTGCCATCATATCAGGACGAGGGCGGCCATGCTGACTTTAGTAGCTCTGTGCGTTGGGTGGGGGTATGGTGATCTTCATTATTCAGGCATTTTACGGACTTGGCAGACACAAAGACACAATCAGCAAGCCAGATCAAGTGTTCTTCTCAAAGGTCGGCTTCTTCCAATCGATTATATCCGCCATTGCTGCGCTGGCGTTTCTCAAGATCTCAATCGCTCTATCCCTGCTACGCCTAAGTAAAAATAAGTGGTACTCGAGATCACTATGGGCTTTAATTGGTATGGTATCTTTCCAGCCCTATACTGTGGACTAGCTAGATTTGTCTAACATGTCGTCAGTGTTCGTAGTGCTTTATACAATCATGGCATGGCTCAGCTTCTTCTTGTATTGCAGCCCAATGGAGGGATATTGGGACAAGAGCCTCAAGCCAAAATGTTACAACATCAAGTTATTTGTTAACTTTGCGCTAGTCAATACTGGTGAGTCGAGATATTTACCCTTTCCTATGGCTTGAAAAGCTAATTCAATCTCAGCGTTCAACATCTTTACCGACGTTTGTTTCGCATCCTTGCCTATCCCCATCATTTGGGTCTTGCAGATGAAATTGCGCACACGGGTGTATCTGATCGTCGTACTCAGTCTGGGATACTTGTGAGTCTTGTCCCAGTCTACACCTAGGCTGCGTACCAGGGTTAATCCATGCCAGGGCTGTTATTATGGGCATCATCAAAGCCATCTATCAGATTGCGCAACCGAGCAGCAAAGACGGAACCTTGTAAGCCCTCGGAGTAACGGTTGGTAAGAAAGACTACTGACAGGTGCTTTTAGTTACCAAAGTATCCAGTTCTGGGGCTTGTAAGTTTCCTCAAAGTTCACGGACGAATAACAAACTAGAGCTAATGTGTCTTCGTACAGTCTCCAACTCAATGTTGGCATCATTGCCGCCTGCGCACCGGCGCTAAAGCCCCTCGTCGGCCGCGCTCTCAAGATATCATCGAGCCGTCATTACAATAGCGATAATCTCTACGAAAATCGATACCCGACCGGACGATCCGGCAGAACAAGTAACATCACTACGGGCACCGCTCGAAGGCAGGGCTACAGGGAACAAGGGAGCCAAGGGGCACCAGACTATGAACTCGAGGACGGGCCCTTTTCACCAAGCCCAGAGTTCTACCGTACGACCATAAAAGGCGGAAATAATACCCCGGCAGCAGTTGCTGTGTACCAAAAGAAGAACAGCTTTGGCGACAGGTCGGGCAGTGAAGAGTTGATACTGGAGACCGGGCATGGGTTTGGAGATAGTAAAGGTATCATGAGGACGACAGAAGTCCATATTCAGCGTTGAGTACCAGGGGTCACTGAAGACTCTAGTTCGTTCAGACGCCGAGTAATGATGGAATGAAGGTGCACGATTCACAACACTTGAAGCGGCTACGTTTTGATCTTGAAAGCCCACTTTACCTATACCTTGGGAGGGCTTTTAATGACCAGACACCAGGTGCCCCTTGCCCTTTTTACTGCTTGACACTGACTTCGTCTTAGACTATGTCATTCTTGCTTTGAGCCCTATTCTTGACCATGGTGAGCCTCAACTCTGGTCAATTTTTATGGCTCGTACAGTTACTTTGATCCTTCCGTGTCCGCTTCCCAATATTGGCCTACTAGTCGTCGTACGGGTCGTCTTCTGGGCAAGACAGGTGAGACCACCGAGAATCATAAGTCTCTAACCCCCTTGGTGCAAAAGTCAGACCAAATTCAGACGGACTCTGCACCGGGTCACGTATAAGAGGTAGTCCACTGCTTGATAGTGCAAGATATATAAGAATTAACCCTCCACAACTACCGATGTTACACAACCACCAACATCATTCCCTTCCACTGAAACCCGTATTGGGTAGACCCTAAGCAAACCTGGACAAGAAGCTCTTCCATCCTTAGGCTAGCCAAACGTCCTTGTGTCCCAAAAACAGGCTCAAATCCCCTTTTCGTTCGAGTTGCCAGAATCAAGCTCGGTAGTAACGTGTCGCCGCCTCAAATTTCCCGCCTCGTCATGCACATCGTCCCACGCAGCAACCTCGGCCTTGGGAACTCTGACCAGTCGATGCGTGTTGGCGCCGTTGGAATCGACCTCAACAATCTCCGTGCGGATCTCGTATCCCAACCAGCGAGGGAGCACGTACATCCAGAAGACGTAGTACAGAATGCAGAGAAGAATGCTGGTAGAATGCAAAATAAGTCAGCGGATTTCTTTATGCTTGGGATTCATAGTTGAAGAACAACGGTTGACTCACATGCCGATACCCACGACGCAGTACGTGGCGTACCAAAAGCTGACGCTTCCCGCGTACGGACCACCTTTTGGCGGCCACCACGGCATCGCCAGGACGAATACCTGGATGGCGAGGAAGAAGAGAACGACAAAGTCCCAGGCGCGGAACTCGGAACGGCTGATGCCGGAGCGTTGGCGACGTCGTCTAAGGACGAAGACGCCGAAGGTCATGGCGAAGTTAAAGATTGCGCTGGGGTAGCTGGCCAAATCGACGACTGAGGTTTGATGTTAGTGGAGGGAGCTCGTGGCGGGGATTAGTGGACCGCTTGTCAGGGGGGCCCATACCGAAGGAGAAAGCATCGCCAGCAGGGGGCGCAACGATCATGATGAAGGTCATTGTCCACTTCAACATGTACGGACCCAAGGGGGTACCAAATGGTTTAGTCGAGACCCAAAAGTTGGTGAAGGGAAGAACACCTTGTCTATGTACTCAAGTCAGTAAAAGTTTCATCAGAAAAAGGAGAGAGTATACTAACCGGCCAATCTCACGAATCATACGCGAAGATCCAATCAACACAGCCAACAAATTCCCAAAAGCACTCAACAAGACCAAGAAGTTCAACACATTGGCAGCAGCCTTGCTCCCGCCAAATAACTTTGAAAAAAAGACCGCCGCAGCAATCTCGCTCGCACCCTTGAACTCGGCTTTCGGTACAGCGGCGAAGTAGGCAATGTTGCAGAGCATGTAGAGAATGGCGACCGTCAACAGCGAAATAATGCCGTTCTTCTTGAGCGTGGGGATCGGGTTCTTGATCTCGTTGGTCATGTTGAAGGCGTTGTAGTAGCCCGCGTACGAGAAGATGATGCTGACGAGGGCGTTGGAGAGGTCGTTTCCGTTGCTGGTTGTGCCTTCGAAGGCGTTGCGGAAGTTTGCCTTTGGGTCGGGGATGTGTTTGACGTTGCCGCCTAGGACTACGAGGCCTGCGATGGAGATGCTGGGGATTGGAGTGTTAGTCGTGATGGAAAGTTTGATCGTGGTGGGCGGTATACTGACAAGACAAGAGTGAGAAGCTTAAGGACGCCGATGAAGTTTACGAGCCAAAGTGAGTATCTGTTGTGTGCGAGAACGCAGATGACGGCAAGTGTGTACGCTGCGATAGCGACGCCTCGCATCTGCCATTCCGAGGGCGTAATATCAGCCATTCTCCACAGGTATCGAGACAGGACTGCCACACGTGTTAGCGATTTCCTCCAGCTCTGGCGTCGATGTTCTCTTTCACTCACCGACTGCATTACTGCTGCTGAACGACAGAATCACCGACTGGACCGCGAAAGCAACGGGGAAGAAGTGCTTGGGGCGAGGGTACTGCTGCTCCAAGTAGACGACTTCCGAACCGCTGCGGTTGGGGAAGTAACTGGCTAATTCGAGATAGACGCTGAAGCCGGCTGAGGCCATGAGGAAGCCAATCACCCAGTACATTAAGGCGAGACCAATTGATCCTGTTCTATTGAGGATACTAGCAGCTATACCGGAATAATGTCAGTATCCAATATATCTCAAGAAGCCAGAGTTTGACCTTGACCACCTTACCGCACGAGCAAGAGAGAGCCCAGATTAACTTACGAGTAGAAAAGACACCTGTCCCAACCATCATGTTGATATTCAAGAAAATGATGGCTACCCAATTGACGTGGTACCCCAACGGCGAATCAGCTTCAACAGGAGCACCGACAGCCTCCTGGTACGACGGCTTGGAACCATTGCCTCCCTTGACCCTGGTATACGCGAGATCGCCATCGTGGATAATGGACGGCTCAGAGTCGCTGGCCTCGGGGTCGGCGCGGACAGTTGAGTCGGCGCCGCCCGACTTCTCGCTCGGGAAGAGCCTCGAAAATACCATCGCTGTCGAGGTGGATTCCGTGCCCCCAGCTGCGCTGTCTTCCGAAAGAATAGCGTTTGGATCAGCACAAATATGACGGGGCCACAGGTGGCACGTGGACGAGGACCCGGGTGAGTTCGCAGAGGCCAAAGCGGTGACGGCACGATCTTGAGGAGAGTTCAACATGAACGCTTTAGTAGCGCGAGCATACATATATAGAGATACGTCCTCCCACGTCGTTCTCCAAGACTGCAAGTGACACCCTCACACCATCCGTCCCCGACTCATGTTCGCATGCGACAGGCACCATAACTGGGGGGGGGGGGGGTAACCAAATCACACAATCGATTATCTCTTGGCTCAATATTCCTGATCCATGCTCCCATGCTAGCTTCAGTTGCTTGACAAGTTAACATTGGCCCATCTTGGCACTTGGAAAACCCTTCCACAGTAAGAGGCACAGAAGCACGCAATGGAGGGTCAGCTCAGTTCTCTTGAACTCAATTGAACGACATCCAGCCGGCCAGGCCGACCTGAACACACAACTGGACTAGAGCTGAAGTTAGCACGACTTTGGAACCGTTGCCACCCCCGTCCAGGCCGTCCTACACTACTTGCCGAGATGCGCGATTGTAACGTCCCAACGGCAATGGAGAAAACCCTTGAGACGGAAAGAGGAACGAACGGGTTCCAGGGACCAACCGTGGAGACTGGAGAGGCGCGTTTCCACCGCGGCTTGTCCCTAGTCTCTCTCTTTCTTCATCCTCGAAACGTCCGTGGATTCGCTCAAATCGGATGTGCGAGGGACGTGGTGTTACCCGCGCCGAATCCACCCCCGCGCGGGCGTGTCCCACTGAATTTTGTGGATATTGTTGGTAGGCTGGCGATGGAGTAACACCGAGGGTAAATGACGACATCCGGTAGCCGGTACCAAATGTTCTAAACCGGCAATTGAGCATGGCTCCATGCCTTTAACTGCTCTTCGGTGTTCAGTGAGGCGGTAGCTGAAGTCTGAGAATCTGTTACACACAGAGAATGGGCTTTTCTATATGGAAGATTGATCCGCGATCGCGTACCTAGTCCAATATTCTCACGATCTTGAACGACGGACGACGGCCCTGCCGATGTAATTTGACGACTCTTTTTTTTTGACCTTGGCCACAGCTCAAGATCGATTAAGCAAAGATGCTTCAGTTCAATTTCAGCACCAAAATGTCACTCTATTCGTCTCTCGATGTCCCTGCACTCGGATCATGCTCCCAAGATGGGAGGGCCAAGCCTCGAACACGGGAAGACCGTTGCGTGAGACGCCCCTTGGCTGAACATCCCCTTGATATATCATCTCTAAAACGGTCTTACCAAGAAATCACCTAATCCATGGCGTTATCCATTCAATCATCCCATCCCATGGCACCTGCCACGAGCAGAGCGCGGTCATTTCATCGCGTCAAACGAAAAAGCTTGGCAGTCGCGATGAAGAAGAAGAAGCCAATTGACGTTGACCAAACATCTTAAACGCCATTCAAGCCAAGGTTTTCTTGGGAATACGAGGACCGCCACCTTCTCTGTGAGGAAAAAAGAAAGAGGCGCGTGGGAGCGTTCGGTCTCCTTGCCGGCTTGGGGGTGGGTGGGATTTCATGTCGACATCGGGCCGCTCAATAGCGCCATCGAACAATCCCGGGAAAAAGACGTCTTGGCCAACGCCCCGCCAAGCATTTCAATCAAAACCTTGAACATCATCAAATCGGCCCAGACCACGCAAGACAAAGATGCTCATTCAAATTTTGAGGGAGATTCTCCTGGAAAAACGGCGACTCAGGGGAGAGAACGATATCAAGGCGGCTGAATATATGTCCGGCGTGCCTGCGTCACGGCTCTGCCGAATGGTTCTGAATCTCACAGACGCAATACTAGTCGGACTGACTAGCACTAATACTAAGGAGAGGATTCTTTCGAACTGGAGTGAGTCAGCGGCAATACCCGCGAGGCGAAGCGTATGGCACGAGACATGGAACCACTGCCTTTGTACAGTCGCACAAACTTCTCTTGAACTCTTGAGAGGTCTTCCGTCACACTCAATTTGGACTTCATCACACTGCCTATTGAAGGGAAAATAAAAGAATCCCGGATCATCAGCATCCCGCACATCATGGGACCACACAACGAATGCTTGACATACTTCAACCTATAACTTACTCCTAAACCCCTCACATGCTTCAACATCTCTAGTTCAAAAATCGCGTTGGAGCTTCGGCCCCCTCTCTCTAGCACATCCTCCAGACTGGATGGACATCCCTGGCCTTATCTTGCAAGGCTCTTCTGTGATGCGAATCTATCGCCACTCGCAAACGTTTGCCAGGATAGCCATTTCACATCTAGAACACTCCATGTAACCAATACACGAGTGCTATACCTCAGCGGACGTTATCAAGTCGACAACCTCTCCTTCTCCCGCCTTCTCCCTCGCCCGTTCAAGACATCGAGCGTGGCCCTCTTCACCAATCAAGCAAAGTCACCAGATTCTAACACCAACTCCTTCAAGGTATCCAGTCTCATTACGATACGCAGCAGACGTACACAAACTCGTACACCCAAGTCTCCCTACCTATATCCCAAAAGAGTACATCAAGTACTCGTCCCAACCGATCGAGGAGCGGTGATGCAAACCCAGGTACAACACATCCCACTATCAACGCCAGACTCGACAATCCAAACCCAACCTAACCTAACCTAACCCAGTCCAGCCCATGATATTTACCCATGATACATTCCATCCGTGATCCATCCAGTGCACCCTAAAACACACCAGGCAATAACCCTCTAGAAATCAAACGGCGTAAAGATATCCGTAAACCACCGGTTGTCCATCAAATCCAACCCAAACTGCCCCATCTCAACCTCCCCAACCCCAGCGCCGCCGCCCATCCCAGCCCCAAGGACACCCGTCCCATCAACCCCCGTCGCAGCAGGCGCATCAACTTTAGCCAACGGTGCCATAGAAGCCTCCCACGTCCCCTTGAGCCCCTTAATCGTCTTGACAGCTTTCGCAAACGCATTCCCCTCCTCAACGTCGACATTCAACCCAGCCTCGCTGCAAACTCTCATGAACCGGTCCCCAATCTCGTCGAGCGTCGCAATGAGATCGATCGTCGACCGCACGCTGGCCCGGTCCCAGACGGGGTCCTCGAGCACCGAAAGGCGGTAGAGCGCAATCGTGCAGTGGGAGAGCTGCGAGAAAGTGAGAAAGGGGGTCGTGTAGTAGGCCGCGGGCGGGAGGGTGAGGAAGTGGTCGAACCAGGCTTTGACCGCGTGCAGGCAGGCGTAGTAGATGTCGAGGCGGGCTACGTCGGGGAGGTTGGCGGGCACGCATGTTCCTGTCTTGTTGGAAAGGGCGATTTCTTGGATGGAGAGTTCTGTACAGTGAAGTTGGGCTATGATTGTATCTGGTCAAGGGTGTTAAAGATGAGTTGCTGCGATGAGAGGGCGTGGAAGAGCAGCAGGAGGAGAAAGGACGAAGGGGAAGACTCACCTGTACTCTGGAGTTCTGATGGCAGGCTCTGAATATGCTGCTGGAGCTGCCTCTGCAGCAGCTTGACATACATGGCAGGCGGCGTCCTGTGCGCGTCGACGATATCAAACGTGGTCTCGGGACGCCATGCCGCGGACGTTTTCCCGGCCTCCTCCTTGAGTAGCTGCATCCTGACCATCGCGACGAGGGTCCTGTCCGAGGGCGACTCGGGCTGCTCGTCGAGAACTTGCAGACACTCGTCCATGTGCGGTGTCCAGCGAAGGGGGTCCATCTTGCCCAAGAAACTCGCGACGCTATACAGATGTCAGCCTTGTTGTCTCAGCCAGTGCCAACGCCGGGAATAGGCAAGTTAGTCGGGGAGATCGGGGGTACTCACGCCGATGAGATGAGGTAGCACGCGACTACAGCCCTCCTCTGCTCCATCGTCCGCGGCATCTGCGACTTGACATACAGAGTCTGCCCCACGGCCCCAGTCTTTTCCCGGTCAGCCCTCTCCTGAGCAGCCTTCCAGCAGAGGAAAGGATTCAGGTTATCCAAGGGGTCGCGGGACAATCCCAAATCAAAGATGAGACCAATGGCAATCTGACAAAACAAGCACATGAACGGCTTGTTACCGAGCTGGTGATTCGCCCTGAAAAGACACCTAGCATGTCAGCGACAACGAGCCAAATGCGTAAACTGTCTCGCCAAGAGGAGAGAGAGAGAACAGAAAGCACGAACGTGACTTGAACTGACCATCCCAGTATCACCAACAACCCGAGAAGGTAATCAATACTCCTCTCATTCTCAATAAGCAGCTTGTGGCTCACAATCTGCCGCACCCGCTGCCCCAGCGCAAGCTGCTGACTCGACACCCTCGACGCGACAGTCATGATGCAGATCCACAGAAACGGCCTCTCGCCGCGCAGCTCCTCGGCCGTCATCGTAGCCTTAAAGTTGAGAAACGGGAAATACTTGAGATTCTGCCCACGGAACGCCTCAAAAAGTGCCTCCGCCTCGTCTGGTGAGGGCAGCTCGTCACCGTAACCGGGTTCCTCGGGACTAGCCGTCTGCGTGGGCGTCGGCAGCGAAGCCCCACGGTCCCTACGATCACCTTTACCGAATTGCTGCGCCGAGTCGAAACCTCCAGCACCACCGCGGCCGCCAGTGCCGTGCATATCTCCCATCTCGGAGGACTGTCTCCTCACCGCCTCAGCAGCAGCAGCAGCAGTAGCACCAGCCGTCGTCGACGAAGAAGAAACAGACCCCCCGGACATATGAATATCAACCCCCAGTCCAGCCGACAAGTTCGGCCTACCCGACTGCCTCAGCAGCGTAACAAGCCCATCAAGCTTCTCCTCTAGCTGCGCGGTCCGGCTAGACGGCGGCTTCTTGGAGCGTTTCCGGATGGGGTTGCTCGGCTGGCATGACTTGCCGAGCCGGTGACACCGCTCGCAGGCCCCACCGACGGGGCGGAGAATGCATTTGCACTTTGCGCGGGAGCAGTTGGTGCAGGCCCGGCCGTAGGGGGCGGCGATGCCGCCGTTGACCGACTCGGCGGCCCCCGAGTCGCGGGTTTCGATCCCCGTCGGCATCCGGGATTCAAACTTGGAGGTGAATGCCCCTGTCGCCTAAGGTCAAAGAACAAAAACAAAAAAGAGATGGTAAAAGGGTACGGAGTACACTCGGTACAATGTGCAAGGCTTTGCTTTCTTTGGTAAGCGGGCCGAGAATCCGGAAGTCCCCTTCCCCCCCGGGGGTGGCAGGCAAGCGGACTTGGTTGAGCGGCGTGTGTGAGTGTTGCGTGATGGTTACGGTGGTGCCAGGTCCCGGGGTTGGTGGCAGGCCAAAAATTGCCCTACTAAGCTTTTTGGCTGCAGGCGATCAATCTCTCTCTCTCTCTCTCTCAATCTCCTGTGTGTAGGTATCTCCTGTCTGTACTCTGTGTCTCACGATATTCGCAGCCAACGAAACAGCCGCCAGCTTTGAACGGGCTTCAGGTGTCCGTTTGGTATCGCAAATGCCGTTTGGATGGAGTGCAGGAAGTGTGAGACCAACGAGAAAGGGAACTTAGGAAGTGGGAAGGGGGAACAACGAGCGATGGAGTGAGCAGGAGAGGATTGGCTTCGAAACCCGCCGGGTTTGGGACTTGAGTGGTGTGGGCGATGTTGAGGACCTTGCGGCATATGTACGTCGATAGGCGGAGTTGAGGTTGGAATTGTTGAAGTCCGGCCGACTCTACTGACGACAGCCTCCAATGTTGTCATGACGGGTGGAGATGGGCCTGAGGCTTACATGTGGCTTGCGTGTGGCGCAGCGAACACGACAGGGATGTATGTTATGCCGAATGCCGAAGTCCGTTCTCGCTCCCGGCCCCGCTTCTAGTCTCATCCACTAACAAACGCAAGGCCGCCCGCTAGGAATACTTTAACTCGTTCGCATCCAAGATCTTACATCAGCCAGCTCAGATGTTTTGGCATGACGGAGGATTGTAACTTTTCATCTCTGCCCCATTGGGTATTGGGAACGAACCTTGAAGATATCGGGTGCAACAGTCTTATAAGGTATCATGCGGGGAGAGGACTATCCAGAGCCTTGCTGGGTTCGAAACCAGGCAGTCCCTCTACCTGATCCGATGCTCATTCCCCCTTCTTTCAAATCATGTCAACCATTAAATGGCACAAAGCGAAGTAGGTTCACGCTGGCGGCCGCATTACACTACTCAAGTGGCACGTAAAATAAGAGAAGCAGCAAATATTCACATGGTATGAAAGACAACGTAATAAAGTGTGCCATGGGTATTCGATTAAAAGTTACCATGCAACTTGGGACCTAACGCCATAATGGCTGCTTTTTACTAACGCAGCATGGCCTCAAATGAGGCAATCACAAGATCCTCGAATGTTGCCTGATCGCAGGAAAAAGACATAAAGATCAACGACTCCGTAGAGCTGGCCGCAGCCTACCGTTGACGAACCACCTCCAACGCCGAAATGAGAACTCATTACCTTCCTTCCCACAGGAGGAGCACATCAGTTGCTCCCTATAAAAGGGTGCTCGTGAAAGTGTCACTCCTGGATACCAAAGTGCCCAAGACATCGCGTGCTTGCGACCATCTCCTCAACACCCCACTCCGCCTAGATATCAAAGCACAATTGTCCCATTCTGGAACAGGTTCGAGAGACTGCCCGACGCAAGATCAAAAAGGGCATCCGCAGGGTATTTTTGTCGTACTGTACAATATGTCGGTCTGAAACTGTGCCGAGGCGGTGCAGTGTTTCGTTAAAAGAATTGGAAGTCTCTCCGTGGACGGGTCAAGTTTAATCAAGAGGTGAGTCAAACTCCACCACCCATGAAGGCAGCAAGGTCGTCAAGCTCGAGCAGCTGTCGCTCGAATGCGGAGCAGAGTTCGCTAGCCGTCATGTCCTGGGGCACAGGAGCAGCAGGCTCGGCAGACGCCACGCCATTGCCAATAGGAGGCTGGGGAAGCATCTCGGTGGACTGCTTGATCTCGGCCGGCTGAGGAGGAGGGGGGCTGACGGAAGCCGGGGTACCAACACCACCGGAGCCACCGTTGATAGTGGTGACACCGGGGCGGCGAGGCAGAGGCGCAGGAGGCTCACTTTCGCGACCGCTCTCACGGCCACTCTCGCTCACAGAGGCAGTGTGGTTGTTGGTGGCAGGAGCGGGGGGGACGGTAGCTCCAGTGCCAGCGTTGGAGTTGGAGGTCTGGTCGTAGTCCATCGCGTCGGGGTTGGTATCTGGGTTCGAGGCGGCTTCGTCCTTAACAGAGGCCTGATCGGCAGGCGGGGCACTGGTGGGAGGAACAGAAGTACCTGCGACACTGGGGCTGCCAGCGACAGCATCGTTGCCGAGCACTCTATGCATAACGGCAAGGTGACGCAGCCAGGAGCTGATCAGAGGCCAGGTGTCAACCCCATCCTGCATGAAGTGGAGGCCGTCGCGCACAATATGCCCGGCAGTCTCAACCGCGTTGGGAGGGGTCAGGCCCTTCAGAGACAGATAGGCCACGGTGGCACTGGCAGTGAAGGACGAGAACAGCATGAAGATGGGGAAGCAGATGATGCCCTCCTTGTCAAAGCCAGTCTCGAGAGCAGTGAGCATGGCGATGGTGCTGTGGCACGACGTAAAGAGCCTATCAATGATATCGTGGCACTGGGGGGTCAGGCGCCAGCTCTCCAAGTTGAAGCCAGGTGCAGTCACATACTGCAGCAGGCGGCGGCGGTTGATGAAGATGGATGCGCAGTGGAGCATGCAGTGAAGCATGGCATATGTGAAGCCAGAGCCCATGGTGATGTGAAGGTTAATCTGGCCCGGCTTGTCGACATACTGCATCGACAGAGAAGCGCGAAGGCGCTCGATTTCGCCCATGAGACCAGTGCAGACATTATCGTTGAAGGTCTCGGTGGTCGTAGTCATCAACATTTGGACAACGTCGCGCCAAATGCGAGTGGCCATGACGATCTGACCAAACTCACCAACCTCGTCTGTACGGGAGCCAGAAGGCATGCGAGAGGGGTCGCTGAGGTTGATGGTCTGGACATAGACGGCATTGCCAAAGGCAAAGTTCATGTCGGAGCACGGCAGGGAGACATCAGCCGTGTCGTTGGCAGATAAAGCCGGCTGTCGGCCCGGCGTGCTGGTAAGCAGGCAGTCGAGGATGTACAACAGCCACAGCACACGACGGAACGACTCGTCCTGAAGGAACCTATCGGCATCACTGACGGCCGCATGGTGACTGTGGAGAATGCGGTACATCTGGACCATGCGACTGGCCTGGCCTAGGTAGATATAGGCACGAACAGCATTGCGGGAACCCCACTCGTGGATAATGATCAAGCAGATGGCCTGAATCTCAGCCAGGCTGGGAGTGTCGAGGTTCTGGTTGATGATGCCCATGGCCTTGGCTGCAAAATGCTCAGCAGCACCAGTCGCGCCGGACTGCCCGCCATAGCGTCTAATCAAGGTGGGAGAGCTTCTGCAGAAGGACAATTGAGTTAGTTGGGGGATGTTCGTCCACTAAAGTTCACCATTGTGTAAGGCCAGCCAGCACGGCTGCGACTGAGTCGAGCAAGAGACAATGACCACAGTAAAAAAGAATAGTGGTGATACTTTCGGCCCCAGTCCGGACATTTGTGGCTAAGCGAGCCGACACGACACTTCCGAACGGAAGGCCGCGCCACCCACAAAAAAAAAGCCGGACATTGCGGGGGGGACGTAGTGAAACACCAAATCAGGAGGGAAATTGGGATCGGGGATCGGAAGACCCGAAAGGCAGGGGTACGTACCGAGCGGCGCAGGTGAGCAGCGCGTAGATGAGGGCCGGGTCCAGAGAGGCGTTCTTGAGCTGCTGGATGAACGAAGGCTTGTGGAAAGCAACACAGGCCGGGTACGTCTTGGAAATGACGCGTTCGCATTCCTGGATCAGCTCCGGTGTAAGTCTGGCGGTGATGAGGTCAGCATTGGTGTTTCTTTTCGCGCCCGGGTTTGCGTTCGGGGGGCGTGGAACGAGATATTCATCCCGGCGACTGGCACGGGGGAGAAGAAGTGGAGTGAAAAGTGGCGGAGACGGGGATATGACTCGGGAAATGAGAATAGGGAGGGGGGGAGAAGAACAAGTACGGGTACACCCAAATGGATATTGAAAGCTTGTGGGATCCCAAGGGAAAGCCCGCCGTCAGATGGCGGCTCCGAGGGTAGGCTAGCGGCGGTGGGAGATGCCGTCGGTTGGAGGCGAAACGCCGTCTTCGGGAGATCGAAGCAATGGCAGCCAAATCTTGGGGAAAAAGCAAACAAGGGGGTGGGCACTTGGGCAGACGGAACAAAAGGGGTGGGAGGCAGAACAAGAGATGACCGCGCGTGTGTGATGGGAGAAGGGGAACAAGCCACCGCGCCCAGGCCGCATGCAGTAGGGGGCCGAGCTCCCCTCCCTGGTCGGCGGCGGTGGGCGGCGACACAGCCGAAAGACGAGAATAGCACACCCGGCACACGGCGCGCGCGCGCAAGGCAACTGGGTGCCAAGCGCAAAAAAGTGTGCGCCGCGTGAGGTTTGAGGCCAGGCGGCGGAGGCAGTGGATGGGAAGAAGATGAAGAGGCTGAAGTGTGAAGGACAAGATGTGAACTTACTTCTCGGGAGTCTGAACGTGACGAGACGTTGTAGAAGCCGGGTTGGCGGCGCGCACATCGCCGGCCGGGACCGAGGCAGGAAGGCTCTCACGCGCAGGGCGATGAGCGGCGGTATGACGGGCAGGCGACTGGCCATGATGATGGGCCATGGACTCGGAGGGCAGATAGCACTCGTGCATGCCCTTGGCACAGTTCTTGCAAGGAGCGCGGCCGTTTTCGTAGACGCACTTGGTTTTGCCCTTGCGACAGCGCACGCAGGCGCCGCCGGCTCGGAGGGCGGTAGACCGCACAACGCTGGCCGACATGGTGCGGTTGTGTGTATGTGAGGTTGAGTGTTTGTGTGAAGTGGATGAGATGCAAACCAGTCTTGATCAGTCGCGGTGTGTCGCTGGATGATGGAACTTGTCTTTTTTTTTTTTTCTTCTTCTGCAGAGCAGAGAGTGCGCCGACAAGAAGATGAGGGCGGTAGGTAGGGTTTGTGTGGTGAAACCCGGATGCGCGTGTGGTCAGCCGGAGATGGATGAAAAGACGCGACGCGATGAACTTCTTGATCCACCCAAGGTGTAGGTAGGAGTAGATGAATCTTGCTTGGTTTGTGGGATGATGCCGTGATCCCAGTGAGGTGACTTAAGACGTCCGCAAAAGTCACGGCGATGGTCGGCGTCAAAAAAGCCGGAGAGTCGACGAGGTGAAGTTGAAGAAAGGAGGAAAAAGAAGAGAGAGTTCGGGGGGTGTCAGGGTCGCGGGAGGAGGAGTGTTTTGTTGAGGGGGGCTCCGGAAGAGAAGAGAGTTTTGGGGCCGGGTGACGCAGAGAAAAGACGACCCGTCGCGCCGAGATTATGGAGAAGGGTGGCTCCAGAAAGGCGAGACCCCCAGGCAGGAGGTAGCGGGCGAGGGCGGGCGGCGGCGTCAAGGCCCCAGGAAGGGGGCAGAACGCGACGGGGGGAGCTTGCGGAAAGATGCCCACAGCGGCCGATGGCGACGGGATAAGAAAAAAGGGTCGGACTTGTTTTCGATTTGATGCCGGGACGGTGTCGGAGACAGTTGGTTATGTTTGTTTCTGTTGAAAGTTGTGAGAGTTGCGGTGATGTTGAGTGTTGGAAATTGTGCTGTACGCGGTGGACTGTGGAAGACGAAAAAGAGAAGAATCGGAGGGCACGGGTCGGCCGCGATTTCTCGGTGGTGGGCGAAAAATCCGGGCGGTGGTCCTCAGGTTTCGGTGGTTGGAAGAGGAGGAAGGAAGGAGTGGAGTACGAGGGAGGGGAGGGGTGTGGAGAGAATGGGGGAGGGGGGTGTGACCTATACAGTACGTATTTCCGTGTACTTAGTACCTATGAGGACGGGAGGAGGGCACGCCGCACGGAGGGCAAGCGGGGGAAGGAAGTATCCGTACCTTCCAGTTACCTTACCTTCAAGGATGGAAAGAAGGGGGAAATCAGTGTAGAGAAAAGCGAAGAAACATCACACTGGACATTCACTAGAGACAGCACGAGCAAGAGGCAGGAAAGATAAAGTCAGGCGAAAAGAACAAAGTGGTGGAAAGGCAGGCGGAGGTGGACGATGACCTGAGGAAAGAGCAAGAGGGAACCGGCACACGGGTTACGGAACGTGGACACGGGAGAAGGAGGTACACACGGCGTGCCTACCTCACGTTAAGGTGAGGAAGGCGGGCGGGCCTCGGCCTCAAATTCGTTGCAACAGCGCACTCGAGTCCCTGACTTCCATCCTTCCTATCTCTGCCTCTCTACCCTCGTCGCACTTTCTGATTATTATACCCTAACATCCCGTCACAACTGGTCCTTCTATTGACTGCAGCCCGAACAAGAGTGGAGGAGACGGCACAGTAACTGAAGGAAGAAGTCTCGTGCCCCGTACGAGACGGACGGATGTCGCCAGATGGTCGTCCCCACTCAGGGCTGGCCAAGCTCGGTGCGGGTTAGGAAGTCACGGCCTGCGGAGGCGGGAGCAGTCGGCGGATTTTTTTTTTTTTTTTTTTTTTTTTACTTTGGAAGGAACAAGGTGGTGGAAAGTCCAAAAATGAAAGAGGTGAAAGACTGAAGAGTGAGGTGGGGGGGGGGGGGGCTGAGGATATGTAGAGGAAGGGTGTATGTATAAAAGAATCCGAGGGGAAATGGAACAGTACGGGGACACAGGTACCTGGCATTTCCACAACCTCGGAGGCAGGCGCGAAAAAATAGCATTCGGGAAAGAGGCAGACGCAGACGCAGAGTGCCAGAGACACTGCACAATGCACAATGCACAATGAACAGGCAAGAAGGGAGGGCAGAGCAGAAAACGAAAAAGCAGGAGGGAGCTGCCTGGGCCACCTGCCTCGCCTACACACGGGCGGGCCTGAGGTTCCTCCTTTGCTGAGGTTTTACGGGCGGATCGGCTGGTGGTGCCGGAGCTGAATGAGGAGAGACGGAAGGAAACCAGGAGCGAGGGGACCCACTCTGTCCATTCTGCCTTCCGCGTCAATGTCCGTCGCACCTCCCCTCAGGGAGGTACATGTCCGGTACTCACCACCCTAGACAATCATTCCCCAAAACTCAAGTACTGCCCTTTGCCCTTTCCTCGGGTCTCTCCTTCCAGGAACCTCTTCCAGGTTCCAGGTTGCCCGTGTGAGTGTCTGCCTTCCCTCCAAGTTCCGTCGAATCGGTACCTGCCTCAGCGTCTGCGCGCTTGCGTTGCCTGACACGCTTCGCTGCCCTGCCGACACCTGCACACTCGCGGCAGGCACCTGCCTCGGGCCTCCTCTCTGGAAATGCTCCTTGTCCTTCCATTCTTACGGATGCATTCGATGCTGATGAGAAGGAGCGACAATGAATGTGCAAGAATACTCCTTCCCTTCTGTGACAGTCATCATCTGCCTCTTTTCCCTATCCCTTCTCAACTTTCTCGAAAGCTTCACTCAATTATCATGACATTTTCAATATTTCTGCCCAATCCACAAAAGAACAAATGAAGTCCCCCCGACCCCAGCCCGGCTGCCGCCCGAAAGCCAAAACGATACGCATACTTCGTACAGTCTCGACACAGTGCCTGCGGCATACTTCCCCGACACAGTTCACGTCTCGCATCCATCCGTCCTCTGCCTCCGCCGCCGACCGGTCGCAGTCCCGTTTGTTTGCGAGCCCAGCGAAATTTCATCGTCCGTCTTGTGGGCAGACCGTTCCTCTCCGTCTCACCATGTTCCCTTGCGACCTGCGCCGCCAATTCTACAACAAGCAATGCGCTCATCTCCCGCAAGCTTAGTCGAATAGCCTCAACAGACGACTCTGCTCCTGTACTGGACTGACTGGTACCACATCCAACGTGAGAAGAGCCTTGGCTGACACTGCACCCTCCTCCGAGCTTGCCTTTCGGACCCGACCAGTCCCCAGGAGCCTTCATCACACTGCCCTGCGACAATGCCGGGCCCCCCGATTGCTACAGCGCTTTCGCCTCGGCAGCACAGAGTCACAAACCCTGCCAGGCCCGCGGCACGCCGGGCATTGGCCCACACCGCAATGAGAAGAGCGGACTGCGCGATCGGGCCATGCCCACCTGGCCTGACTTGCACCCTTCAGGCTTCAGCAACGCAACAGAGAGAGCCACAGCCTACAGGCCAGTGAGGCCACTGGGCAAGAGGACCGCGGACGACAACGATGGCGAGGCACTGTACATATGCCATGGCTTATGGCCCACGGGGGTGTGGACGACAAACGCCGCCGGGCGGGCCTGGAACCGCCGCGCCCCCCCTGGTCCTAGAGTCGGTATCTCACCCTCTTCCAAGTACCTTTCTTTCTTCCCTTAAGTGCTTGTCCCCAAATTCCACGGAGCGCCAAAAAACCAACCGGCGGCTACAGGGCCACGCCAGCTTGCCCGTCCCTGACCATGATCATCGCGCCGCCAACTTCCAACGGAAGATTGACCCCCTCCCGAATTTGATTTTCCCAGACACGGCGTGACGGCGCGGCAGGGCGCTTTCGTTGGACGCTTCGCTCGTGCCTTTGGAGGACACTTCTTTGACGGCACGGCCTCTACCGATGGAGATAAGGAGGGGCCGGAGATGCAGCAGCAAAACTGTAATTTGCTCGATGGGCTTCTAACTGCGCCGCCGCGATACGCTCTACTACGCGGAGCCGATGCGCTTCTCAAAAACCCAACAAGCTCCTCATGACTATGATTTAGGGGGGGGGGGGGCACATCGATGGCAGTTTCCCAAAGGGGCCCCTCAAAGTGGCATTTTTCGGTTGAGCTTGCAAATTCGTCCGCGCCTTCATCAAGACTCTGCCGGTTTGCAAGTCCGGACACCGTACCTCTGCACATTATCACGATGATGCTGCTGAATGTCTCTGGTATGTGGGATGGCCAGTCCACGGCTCGTCCCGGCCATCGGGCTGGCCTGGAACACGACTGGCACGCTCGCTGGCCGAGGGTCGACGCAGTTGTTGCTTCTGTGCAGTGTGCACGAAAGACAGTGCCGGCAGAAGCTGCCGCCTCGTCCGGGTCTGCTACATTTGCAAGATGTTCCGTCTTCGCTCCGGTGGCATCCCACCCAGCACGCCCTCGCCCCCAGTTTTCACCATGGAGCAGCCATCCCGAGAAAATCCAGCGCCAACTCGTTCCGGCGACGCGCCAAATTTCTGTTTAATCAAACTCGACCTGCCCGGGCCTGAACCTGGTTCCTTTCCCTCGCTCGTTCCCCGTGCTGAAGCGGACTTGCGCAGTCGACGCCCCGCCCCACCCGGCCGTTTCTTCGTTTCTGTCCGTATCACCAACATTTTCTGCAGCAAAGGCATGCTGCGGCCTGCCACTGTGTCTTACGTCAGGTTCCCAATGCATCAAGAGGATATCAAGATATGCACGGCACGAGACCAACGTCGGCTACCGTACGTATGGAGGCCAGGCACAGAGGGACATCAAGTTGACGATACCTCTTCCTGTGACATCAGGTACGGATACAATGCCCTTGTGCACTGTCACCGTGCCGACTACGTGGCCAAGCCGGATCTCTCGTGCCCTCTAGACAGACTCTAGGTATACGTCGTACAAACACGCGAGGTCTGCTTCATCGCTGTTGTAGGGGCTGCTGTAGGGGGATGCAAATTCAAAGAACACAGTGTGGCATAGCCGGTGGGCGGGCTGCGAAACCTTTCCCACTGCATGCTCTGGTTCACAGGGGCCGCTCTTCAGGGCTGTTCAGGCTCTGCAGCACTCTACGCGGAGAAGGAAACAGCCTAATATTTCTAGAAAGCTGCATCGGATTTCGCTACGTTCATCTCTTTCGGCCGGGGAAGCGCGTTATGTCGCATTCGTTCTG